TAATTTGAACTTCAGAGAAGCATCAAGCCGAGCACTTCTTGTATGGTCATCGGCCATCAGGAATTACAAATGGACGAAACCTATATTTTTTGCCTACAGAAAGACTAGACATCAGCAACAGTCATCAGAAAGATGAAACAACTACCTACGCTACACTACTCCACACCTGAACGCAATGTTGCCTGATAACTCTTGAGGTTATTGGAAGCTACTAGATACTTACACCCTCTTGCATCTTGAAACGCACAAAACTGTTGCACCCCCACGATTCAAGATGGTTATGAACCGGTCACGGTAATGCGGGTTTTAGGATGGGAGGATATAATCTACGATGACCGGATTCATCACCTAAGCTTTTCAGTAGGACAGGGCAATAAGTGATGTGATGGCAGCGCACTTCTAACCGCCTAAATAAAAGAAGCGCAACCGAGTGCATTCATTTTACTTCACAAGATAACCATCAACAAGTAACAAATTCGGAATCGAACACGCAGGCAAGATTTGATTTTTCCTCTTTACTAGTCATTCTGTCTGAAACGTCTTACCAGTAGATGCGACTTTATTACACAGCTGATTGTACCATCTTTGCAGCGCGCTCAATGAACTCCTGTGTAAGCACAGTTTAAACTTGAATACATACACTTCCTAGAAGAAAGCTCTTTGAACTTATTTGGATGCCTGAACTTTATCCACCACTATCGCTTAGTCTTTTAAGTAAACATCGTCCATTTAATGTTCTCTTTAAATTTGTCTACCGATTTGTTTCCTTACTTATCAACTTGAAGACAAGTTTATTTATTTATCTTGGCCGATCTTCTTTCTATCCTAATCTCAAAAGCAGTTGAGTGTCCTATAGCCTGATAGCTACTGGCTCTAGAAACCATACTTGGTACAGACGCATTCATTTATGCTCGTAACATATGAACATCCAAATAGCTGTCAAACTCACTAGGATTAGTGAGGTTAAGTATACCGAAGGCTTCCACCTAAAAAACAGAGAATCTAAAGTATGAATGGTGAATGACGACAATGCTCTATCCACAACACATTTTCGGTAGTTTATTATTGGATTTTCCGACAGCGAAAAACGCCCTGGAATCACTCTCTGTAATACTCCGGCTATATTTATCCATCGACGATTCTCAACTGTTAATATCCACTTTTGTTGTTTCATTAGAGAAAAATCGGCATCTGGACTGCAGAATCATTCAAAATTGTTTTCGTTGTTCGTTTAAGACATCATTTAGAAAAAACCCTAGGTTATATTACCCTTCCTCAAGAAAGATATTGCTCTTGTGGAATCTGTTCGAAGAATAGTACTTAGAAAGAAGTCCTGGTCTTATCGCTTGGAAGCTCTTTACCAGCTGTCAGTGCGATTTCGGAGGATTTGAGATGATACGGACATAATGTATCATATTGGTATAAGTGCTCACCATCCAAATAGACTACTGATACGTTTGAGTAATAGACCTCACTGAAGAGAGCAGCCATTGAGAATACAACACAAAATGGCTTGCCTGAAAATCTGCACAGACATTCTTGCCGTTCGAATCAGTAGGTTACAGACCCTCTAATTATAGCAGTGGTGATGGGTCTCTCTGGCGAATCTTCCGGTGAGTTCGATGATTACTTTGTCTCTGTCAGTACTATTAAGGAAAATGCTGGTTTTTCTTAGTAATTACGTTTATTTAAATCCGGTGTTCTATCAGTAGCCAGAACTGTCAAATTTGCCCTTTAGTAGTCAACTATAGACGTAGTATGTTTACTGGTGTTCTCCCTGAGCTCAGAATACTTCAAAGAGGGCTATCCTTAAATATGGAGGTCTAACAGATTGAGAACGGTTGGACCGAACTCTTCCAGAACGAATGGTCTGAGCAACAGAAATGGTTTTGTGTATGCAGAGGGTCATGTTTCAAACAAAATAGTAGAAATTCTCTACTTCCGTATTTCACAAATGATGAATGCATCCCGTCAGGTCCACCATCATAAGACTTTATCAGGGCAGCTATGGCCTGCTTGATGTTGGAGGGTATAAAATCAATTTTCGATAAATGTCTGGATGTCAGCATTGGAAATGTAATGATAGAGCTTTCAGTTCCAGTTTTTTTGCACTGCGAGAAGTGCTTGCTGAATTGTTCGCATATAATATTCGGGTCGTTAACAATGCTTCCATTAACTATGAAGAATTTAGTCGTGCCAAGGGAATTTGACTTTACACGGGATAATTCTGGGCTTTGACTACATAGGGCTTTATTTTCTATATTCATAAAATACTTACGTTTAGATAAAGCATTTCTGTCGATTAATGTAAACATACTCTGAAGTGCATACACATCATTCTGCTCGTAGTAGCGGCATTTTAATTTCCTCAGCTTTCTTTTAAGAGTATTCTGGCCCCATTTAGTATTATAAGCCACACGGCCAATAACTGGAGCAGTGCAGTCAAGGCAATATATCGGGTTGCGGTATAGATTGGAAAGCGCAATGTCAACATTATTTATGGTAAAATAAGTTTCCCATGGTAAACATTGAATGAGAGTTTCAGTCGGTTTCCAAGTTTGTTGATCAAAATATCCGCTCTAGTACATCATTGAAGCCTTAGAGTTCAATTGTATGGCATTTACAAAGTGAATAATACTCAATACGTTGCACAAACTTTCCCATACAGGTGTTCGTGAAACCATCATGCCCACAGTACGGCGATTTTGTTGGTCTGACATGGTTAAAAAACCTCACGGAGAGTTAGCACACGCATGTTTAAAATACCAGAAATCCAAAGTGATTAAACACAGAGCATTCCCTTGAGGTTCTTTCTAAATTCCTGACGCTCGTCTCAACCATTTTCATCTGGATTTTGTGAAGCTCGTTCCAGGATGAAATGGATGCTCTTACCTCTTAACTTGTTTAGTCCGTTTCACGTGATGTCCTGAGACTGTGCTCAACATGGACATTACTGCTGAAGCATTGTCTATTGCCTTCATCAAACGATTAATAACAGACTTAGCCTGCCTTTCAGCCATCACTACAGACTGTGAACGTCATTTCGAATCTGAACTTGTCCGTTGTCTTACTTTGCTACTGGGATCCACGTGATTCTGTTTAACCACGTGACGCACAAAAGCTTACAAACTGAAAGGATGATTTGACCAACAGCTGATAGTTTCACCCTCAGCCTCATACATATCACAGAGGATTGACTCTCTTCCACTCGTGTTTCCCGCTATCCGCGAAGAAGTGAAATGTTACACCGTCACGCAGCTCGTTTTCGGAACGACATTCCGACTTTCAAGAAACTTCGTGGGTGGTTGATCTTCATCCATTAATATGGACATAAACTGTTGCATGATTAGACTTACAGACGCAATGTGTTCAGTTAAACCTGTTTCAACTACAGTCGATAGTTGTATTTGTTTGAACCGCCTTACAACTTAGTACACACATTTTTATACGTCGCAATTCATTTTGACAACCCCTTGAGATGGCACACGAAAAATTTTTCGAAAGTCTTTTATGGCAAATCTAAGCACCATACCATCAATGAAAATAGGATTGACGATGACGTCAGCACTGACCACCTTAAAGCCGATTATTTAGGAGATCCTGATAATTTAAATAACCCATCTTAACTGAACAAAAATAAAGAGAATTCAGCGAAGAAAACTTTTACGACGAAATCATTTACTCAAGCTGTACATTTGTATTCATTGTTATATGGCAAATAAATTTCTATAGGAGGATAGAAAGGATTGCATAACAAAGTAATTCGAGACTTGTTATCAAATGAGGTTACGCAATAATCAAGTGGTAAGGAATGAATATAAAGATGGGAATAATATACGGGACAGATAATTTTCCAATTGACAGATATGAAGAAAAACGACAAACGTAAAGGTTAATAATAAAAACTGGGTAATAATCAAGAAAACTTATTTAAGGAAATAATAATAGGTGATTACAGTTTAAAATTACAAAACACTAATTTAAAAATCAAGTGAAAGAAGAAAAAAACCGGAACTTACCACTGAAGGGGATTTGAGCCAAGGAAGGCCGAGAGGTTCATGTTCATGTTCAGGCTTCAGTTGGCGCAGTGCCGATGCCTCAGCAGTGCATAAGATCTTGATTAGACTTCCCTTCGATCCTATTACTTCGTCTGAGTAGATTACTTTGAAACAAGACTCCTATGGAGAGATGTGTCCATAGTTCATTAAGTGCTTCTGTATTGAACTAGTAATTGTTCTGCATTCTCTTTTTAAAGGCTATGCCGGGTAGTGTTCTGAGTTGCCTTTGATAAGTGATCGCTTAAAAAGGCCGATTTAACCTGCTCAACACGAGCAAGTAAATTCATAGATGGAAATTGATGTCGCCCAAGGCAGAAGTCCATCCTTAACATATCCGTGAATGGTAGGCCGGCTTGAGAAAAAAATTCGGAGCTTAGCTGAGTAGAACGTTGTACCCTACGGTTTTGAAGTCCATATCACCTTTGATTTCCATATTGATAAGGACTTCTTTTATATTATCAGTGCTTTTTCATGGTGATATCTTAGTGTCAAGTCACTATCGACGAATTTAAGTGGATAACCACTCCTAATGAGAATCTGTCACTGCTTTTTTGATCTGTCAGGATTGATACCTCTATGTAATTCTCTACGACTCTCTAGACTTCAGCCTCCCATAAAACTGATCTTTATAATTTTCACTGTTATCATTGGTGAAGTCATGACTTTAGACATCAGTCACTGTAAACCGTCTCCCTTTTATGGCTTCTATTTTTCACGGCAAGTACAACAAGCATCCAACCATGTCATAACTGAAGTACACTTTAACTACTCACTCTCTTACCGCAAGAGTCGAACACCTGGAGTTAAACAACTAGTCTAATCGTATTAAACGATAAGAACAACATTTAAACGCATTTTGTTTACAGATAATCAAGTGCAAAGAAATTAATCAACACTAGAGCATCACAAAGAAGACAGGTATTTATTGGATAGTGAAGTGACCTGAAATTGGTTGCATTTTTGAAAAGTTTATATCTTTTCGTGAAAACTTGGTTAAACAAGAAGCTCATTATATTTCGTTAATTAGTATGACCAAGAAGTAAAATTCTACTGAAGAAAATGATTTTTGAATACACTGACGTAGTGAAAATACAAACAGAACTGGGTTATACTACAGTGAAGTGTTCGTCCACGACCACCGTACAAGTAAATGTTTTGTTCACTAAACCTAACCGGAATTTTGAAGGAAATAATTTCGGTGGCCATGAGATCCATTTCATTGTCAGCTTCGCCACAGCTCTATGGACTTCGACTATTGGGCCTTCGTGATAAAAATATAACTTGTAACCATGTTTTATGTAGGCATTTGACATACTCTGAGGTTAAGGAAATGTATGGAATCAGAGATCTTCAGCTTGCAATATACTTGTTTCCAACAAAGTTTGAAGAGGCAGCAAGAAACGATAGGGCAACTCTCTTTTATTTACATCAACAGGTAAATATCTTATGTGACCTTTATTAAAGTCGATCTTGAGACTAGAAATATATACTATTCTGGATTACAAAACGTTAAAGACGTTGAGTTAGCACTCGAAATAGGATGCCTTAATATAAGGTGATTTTATCTCCCTTTTTTATTTGTATCTTTAGGAGTTTTGTTTCGTCGCCAAAATTATCCGTTAAAGAAATAATTGAGACAGTGGAAAAGGTGCGAGATATTTCCACTTTTTTTCCACCATCCGTCCTCCAAAATTTGAAGGTAGATTACAAATTATTGTTGGTGGCCTTTTGCTTCTGTTTGTCACTATTTTCATTTTTGCAAATTCTGAGCTTGATATACAAGTTTTGGTAAGAAAGGTAGTTTTGTTTCAGTATAATGAGGTGATAGGCAACTGAAGTTAAGGTACCAGTAATTTCATTGAACTCGAATCTGTACAGCACAGGCGGCTCTGTTCATGTTCTTAAAGGCATTTGTCAAGTGAACTGATCGACGTTTTTGAATTTCCTACCGATGTATTTCCATTATATTTTCAGCTCCTTTATTTTTGTAAAAGTAGATTAACTTTGTCGGGGTAGCCCTTAAATAATCGAAATAGTCTGTGACCGTTTTGGTAATATTAAAACTGACTAAAGAGACCATTAAAACTGCTTTGTTACTTTCTGACTAATTATTCCGTTTTTAAAATTTAGGGTAAAGCATTTAAAAAAGCCGTGCAAAATTACTTGGCGAAAATAATCCACTACTCAGAGGAAGACTGTGCACTGGACCTGTTGAATCGTTATCTTGTTTTGCTACAATTTGATCGTGATACATTTAAATGCCGACTTGGAGTAAGTTTGCTATTTTGCTATAGATATAAATTTTTGATATTTGTCACAAGCAAAAATTAAACACATTTGGTTATTTTGTGTTGAAACTATTATTTAAACCATCATATAATAAACAACAATTGGGGTTGCTAACAAATACTTGCTTTTGCTTTTAAAATTTACTTTAAAATGCTTTTCGTCCTTACTTTTGATTCTAGATCACATATCTCTGACAGACTATTAAGTTTGATCCCGTATAAAGGTGTAAACAGTAATTCATCATGCATGCAATCCTTTCCAAGTAACTGAGTCTGAATAAGACCAGCTGCAATCAAATTTCGAAAATCAGTCCAAATTGGACATTATTTATATTTATAGTCATTTTTGAGGCTCGTAGCTACACCGTTCTTCAAAAATTCATAGTTAGACATGTTTACAATTGATTGACTGTTGGGTGGTGATCAATGTCATGTGTGTCAGGTCCTTCTTAGTGTAGATTGAATTCTACTGACCACGTTGCAATGTGATCATTGGTCTAGATGACTCGACATAGAGTCCACTAAGTTGATATAAGATGGTGGTTGAAGATAGCCAACAGGAAACCCTGGACCTAAGTTTCTTACTACTGGGCGCTCGTCAGCAAGGTGTACCCATAATCTTGAGGAAACTAATGCTTCCAGACGGATTCGATCCCGTGTCACCCAGTTTCACAGACAGAGACGTTACCACTAAGCTATATGGGCCGCGACTGACCTCCCGTAGGACTGAGATGTATTTACAGTTGACTGATCACTGAGTGATGATCAATGTCATATATGTGCGGATCGAATCCTATCGACCATGTTTCATGTTGACCACCTCCAACCTTCATTTTAGTTAAACATTGAAATGCATATGTTGACATTAAAATATCATCCTGTTTATCTGAAAATTAAATCTAGTTAGAAAGGTAACCAAAAATTATTCGTTTGTCAAGATTTATGCTTTAATGTGTGAGTTATTTTTCATTTTGTTAAGTAATATCACATGCGACATGAATGAAACTTCATTTTTATTTCTCACATGGTCACGTATTGTATGTAGAAACCTGGAATTAACTTTAAAAATATTGTTAGAAAGTAAATCTAAGTACCTTTAACAATTATACTTTATTCAGATGACTTTTAAGCGACTAGTGGCTTCACTTCTTTCTCCTTTATTTTAATTATAACCTTTATTCATACCTTACATTTGCCTTATTGACTGACAAGTTATTCATTGTTTTGTGATGATTTTTCCGAACTAGAGCGAATACAAATACTTGATTTCGGCACATGACACTAGATTATTTCACTCTGAGTGTTGAAAAATGTATGTTGGTGACAGCTCTAACAATTGTTTTTGCTCCGATTAAAATCCACTAGGATATCGTTGAAAAATGAATACGTTTGGAAACAAGAGCGGCTGCTTTTTTCGAAGAATAATTACGATACTATTATGCTTTTAGCCTTAAAAACTAGACATCAACTTAGATACGAGTATTCGAAAACATATTTTGTTTGGTGCTAGAATGGTTGGTTAAGTTGATACTCTGATAAGAATCCTAACAGACCCTTCTGCCCCAAGAAAGACTGACAACAAATCACCAAACTGAATCAAAGCTATGAACCAAACTCATAGGCAATTATGTTTGTGGAGATTATATGACTTTTACAGTGGATTATACTGTAGCAGTTCAACTTAGCACATGCTTAGGTGATTTGTTCCGAATTTCATGCAAACCATTGTAATCTTTTCAGTTATTCTGTCACGCATATACTTTTCTTTGTCAACTATTCATTCTCAAACTTGAGCATATGTGTATGATATTACATATATGTCTGTATACCTATAGGAACTTCCGTCCAAATTTGAACAAACAGTTTCATGGCAGTTGAGCGCCAATCTACTGTAAGACATTAAGGAGAAAAATTATACATGTAAAAATATCAGCGATTGAGTTTTAAGTAAATCCAACGCTTTGCTCTCCTATAAATATTGTTTGGATTTGCACATATGTGTAGGGCTTACTTATATTCGCTAACGTTGATCTTGTATTATATTTTCTTGAAAAAAGCGTAAACCAGATTGTCGGGAAAAATGCTGGATTTACTGTAACCTCAATCACTGAAAGTTTTACAAGTGTCACTTTTCTTTTCCATGCCTATATACTTATGTATCTCTCTTGTATGGTCATAAAAGATGTCATATAATAATTCGCTGACTAGGTGTATTACCGAAGTTATATATGTTCACTGAATCTTTTATTGCTTATCTTCCGTTTTATATTAGTATGACCGAAATACTCATATCCTACATACAGTTTGTGCTCAACGTTTACTACACGGGTTGTGCCAACGTGAATTTTTAAACAAAATATATATGGAGTAGATAGGATATACAGTCTACTGCCATCAAAATTTCTCAATCACTATATAGTTGATAAAGAGCTCTAAAATATAATACAACTCATCTTTTGGCTTTCTTATATGCCTATCACCACACACATAGTAATAACTAGTAATTATTCCGTTGTTTTAGCTCGAAAACAGGCTGAAATAAAGCACTATTCTTTTTAAAGGCAGTTTTATTTTCTAGCATTTATTTGATTTAACAATCTATAATTTTTGCAATGTCATACATAATACTACTGCTTTTTCATCCTTATTAGTTGTAAGTGTTTCAATTAATTGATTCAAAAGCTTAAATAAAAATCTGTCAGCTAATCACTTTTGCTAACCGATTCATCAGTCTATATGAACACTGAAGCTATTAAACAGTAACTAGTATTTAAGCAAACAAATGAAAATCTAAAATTATTTTTGTGCTTTACTATATTTAATCATCTTACAATAGTATAATTTAAAAACATATACCTAATTGAAGCTAGAACACCATGGAAAACCTGGAAGCACCGGACAACCTTCTCACCTTATTTGGGACTCCTCAGCGATGCGCATCTACGATCTCGGCCCACAAGATTCCAACCCAGGACCTATCAGTCTCGCGCGTGAGCACCTAACGACTAGTCCACTGAGGAGTCTAAAAAGAGGACGAAACGGCCGTCCAGCGCTTCCAGGTTTTCCATGGTGGTCTAGCTTTAATTGACTCATGATCTTAACTATTGAAAATAATATTTATATTCATTTGTTTATTCTAAGCCAATGTATATTGTTAAACGCGTTTACAGTAGTTGCTAGACGCATAGTTGATATTTTCAAATAACTGATATTTCACAATGTGATTTTATTTAATGAGCGAAAGATTTCACCAAACGACAAATTATCCAAGCATTGTGGTTAATTAAAATTTTGTTTTAAGACAAATGTAATATAGAAATGAAAACATGGAAGTTTCTTTGAAGTAAAAGATGAAGACAAGCTTCAGAATGTTAGTTAGTTATTTAGTGAATTAGAGTTTTGCGGTGTTGAGTCAATCGAAACTTTTCAGCAGTGCAAACCTACAATCTTGATGTTCCTTGTGAAGTCTGAGTTTAGCCACTGGATACATATATATATATATATAATAAAAACTGATCACTGAATGAGGACTAAACAAATTGTTAAGGAAGTTGACTTGACATTATTACTATTATTAACGGCTTTATTCAATATTATATTTTCGGTACAATATAGAATTCTCAGCACAAAATATTTCATTAAGTTTCCGTTTCTTAATTGTTGGTTGGTCTTGGCGATAAATATTCAGTGATCGTGAGTTAAAAATTAGCAGTTCAGAAATGGACATTTGAATAATGTACATTCATTTCGCTGCATATTACCAGCAACCACGATGTCTCTGATTGTGCATTTTTGTAACTTGTACAGAGAAAGTCGTAAGGTTCTCATAAACTCAGCTGAATAGGTGATGATGTGTTAAAACAAACAAAAACAGATAACTTAGTGAATTATGTAGATGACAGGAAAAAGTAGCCCAGATGTTCAAGCACGTCACCACATCTTGACTTAATTGAATTTTACATAAAAATATTAATACCAAATAAAACAAATATTTTATTGAAATAAAATGTATATAAAATAAACCAACAATAATAATCCATGCCGTATACCGCTGGGAATTTCCTATTAGTGACTGAGAAAATGTGTCATACAGTGATACAATACAAGGGATTACTTCAATCATCTTTTAATATGGTTTGAAAATAAAAGAGGCAATTCGGGACAAATACATACAGGCCTAGAAATATCACGAACGCCATTAGCATTCATGTCCCCACTAAAGTTAATCAACCAATGCTCGGCGAGACAAATAACACACATTATCATTCACTCAATTACAATTCACTCATACAGTTTTGTAAACTCTTTATTTTATCAGTAAACATGCAGTTAATGACAGGATAAATCTATCCATACAATAAAATCTACATATCAAGTGATTTCATCATTTCTCTCATGTGGAAATAATAGTGAAAATGTACAGTTTCATATGAAATGAATGGCTGTTGATTAACAGATGGACTTAGTAACTCAGCAAACCAATGTGAAATAAATTGGAAATCAAAGCAATAGTCATTGTGTTCAAGCATTTTTGAAGATGTCATCGTAGTACACTGTCAACGCATTAAATTTTTTTTCAAGTATGATAGTAAAAATAAAACTGGATTAATACCTATAATCGCCAACAAGCATATACTTTTGATAGATATTTCAAATTCTGACGCATTCTATTTCCTATTCCAAGTACATTTTGAGAATATGTAATGTAAACTAGTGTTATTTGTGAGTACGTTGATGTATTTGTCGAGTGCTATCCATCATGCAATCGTGAACATATAGGTTAAGCGAAATTCCTATTATAAACTGAATTTATTTAGTATAAGCTTACATATAACTACACAGCTTGTCAGAGAAATTCTTTATCTCATTTACATATATGTGCGTAGACGAATGTTAATTCAGTTTTTCAGAAACATACCGCAAATGGTGATTGATTATTACTCGCTATAAAACCGTAAATCTGCATTGATTGATTATTCGATTGTAACGTATGTCATGATTGTAGGTTAACCTAAATAAAACATGCCGACTACCACAAGCTCTAGATCAGGAAGGCTTTCATGTTGACTAACTTCAATCATCTAACGTCGAAATCCAATTTTCATATTTTATTTCACCTGTTTTCATCATACTTTACTAGTGCTGCAAATGTAACCACCATTTTAAAACATACTGTCTTAAATTTCATAAAGCTACCCACTGTTTCAGTGAAACGAAAAATCTACCATTCAATTTTAGAGTGTGTCCTAATCATAATTCAGTTTGAAATGGTTTGGACTATATATTAACTACAACCTTCTAGTATTCAACTTGATTTGGTGTTATCATGACTGCATATAACTTGCTAATAATGTTTACCTTTAGACTGTCTGAGTGAAAGTATTGAACTTTCATTATGGCTGGACAGGGGTTTTATTTTCCAGAAAGTTTATTATCATAAATTTTTAATAAAGTTAAACTGCAGCTAGAAGTGGAATCCAAGACATTTATCTGGCTTTATTTTGGATTGATCAGCTGACCGATATTCGTACAATAACTCAGAACTTGCACCTTTCATTTTACACGCTAACACGTTAATTACTGTGCCCAGACGATTATTACTCTGCCTAAATAAAAACTTATGATTAAAATATAATGATGAGGCAATCCACTCAGAATGTACACATACAAGCACAGACTGATCATTTACATTCCTTAACACTAATAAAGGGGAAAATGCGAACTTTTAAAAATTAAGTTTGCTGACAAATTATGAGGGTCGTGTTATGTAAATGATTTGCTCTGAATTCGACGATATATATGTTATGAATTTTACCAAAGTTAACAATAACCGAGATTATCTTTTTGTAGTTGTTGTGGTAACCAAAATATTACTTTTAGACTAGAATCTATCAGACTATGATATTATTTATTTCAATATTTTTGTCATTTGTTATATATACAAGGTTAACGTTTACATTTCTAGGCTGGATGGGGTATACCGGTGGATCTAATTATTGGACCACGTTTTCAAATATCTATAGTCGTTGAAAATGGACGTCAGGTTAGTGATATTGCAAACGTTATTGTAATCTAAAGTAATTGAAAAAAGTTTAATTTAATCAAGCACATTAAGTGCAGACAAGTTTTCATTGATAAAAAGGAGTATACAAATTATGTAAGTCCTTCATGAAAGGCGGTTTCCTCTGTTTACTTAACTTTGATAAAAATGTACTTTGGTCGATCAGTAACTAATGATCAATGTTATGTTTTTCTAGTCTTTAGTGCTGATCAAATCTTTATTGATCAAATTAAAATATGGTATCAAACCGGGAAAGTAGGTTAATCAGGTTCAAATTTTATGCAAAACATCAGTTGCTTCGAGACTTTAGGTACACTTTGGTGAAGAGTCTCGATTCACCTGAAGCCTAGGACAAATAAGGTTTTTCGCCTACAACACCTATTTATATAATATACTGTCTGTCCATGTGAATTAAATAATCACCGCTACTGAGGAAGAATTAAAATTATACTATTAACTTCAAGTTAAATTAACTCGTAAATCGACAGAAAATAAAGTGCAGGATTCTTATTTAATTCATTACACATTCAGCTTTCAATAGTTGTAAAGCTTTTATTCAAGAGTTGGAGGGAGATTAAAGCTGATAAATTTAAGAATTTAACTATCTGTCGATTATATTCATTAGAATATAGATACAGGAATAGTTCTTCTGTCGATAGTTTGGTTATTATTTTAGACTTGAAGGAAGTTGAAATAATTATTAGATGGTTTATAAGATGGATGAATAGAGCAAATTATAATTTAAATAATATAGTTGTCAACTCATTTACCTGTATTAACCTTACATGATTACATATATTCAACACATATACTGACCTTTGTATTCATTTGAATGTCTATTTACTTGTTATACACATATATAAGCCAAGACATTTGGCTTATTTTGCCAGTATTCGGCAAGTGATTGTCACTAAAGTACAAATTCAAAGTAAAGAATGTTATCAAGTGAAAATTGGCATGGAACAATCAATAACAGTGGCATCAAACAACAGTAATAATGGTCAATTCGATTTTATTAGTTTCACGTTTACGACCCCTGAAGAAGCTGATACTGTGGTACATTTATTAGAAGGATATTGTGGTGAATCAATGGATGATATTTTATCCAATGGTACACTGAATTCATTAAATAACCATGAATCAAAATGGCAAATTAATTCAGGAATTACATGTAGTGATTTTTTACCGAATGGTTGTCCATTTAGGTGAGTTAGTTAAAAAACAATTTGATTTAACTAAAACCAATAATTTTTGAATTTGATACAAATATCTTTGTTATTGTATGCTTGAAAAATGAGTAACGTTTTGGTGAATTTAAGCACACCAACTTTTAAAAATGATTTCATGAACCTATTCAGTACTGTATAACAGATCTTTAGTTTGTTAAACTGATACACAATATTTTCTTTAGTACTTAATCTATCGTAACATTTCTCAAAGTGTTTGATGGTAATCATCATAAAGACATGAACAGACGTTTAATGCTGAGTGACACTTGAAGATAACTGAAGCTAGAGTAACTAATTCCTAACGAATCTAAAGCTCTGTTAATAATTTAATTTAATAGTCCCTACTACTACAAATGTGACCAATTACAAGACTAAGTATATCTGAATACAAAGTTTGTCACTACACAATAAGTTAATAAGGTTTTCTATTTACGATCATAAATAAGTCAGTAATTACCTTATTTTCACAAAACAACTTATCAAGCAGTTTAATAGTTGTTTCATTGAGAAAAATGCGAACATTCACAAATTATTAACTACTTGACACTGGTTAGACACCGAGTTAATATAAGACATTAAGCATTTCAATGATTGGAATATAAAGTGAAAAAAATTCCTTGTTAAAGTTTGAACCAGATTTTTGAGCAAAATATTAAATTTACTTATAGTTTAATCGCTATGATTTTCACGAGTATCATGTTCCACTCTGATTCATATTTTTATTGTCACCATTCAAATAATTTGATGAATTATCTGAGTTTACTGAAAAATCGATGTGTCAATAAGTTAGAGTTCCCTTTTTTTTAAAAAATAAAAGATTATTTGTTTCTTGATTTACATCATTTTTCTGTTACCATGTCATCTTGACGGCTTTTTAACTTTGAAACATCTTTCTATCTTGTTTTAAACAAAGTAATTAGATAAATTATACAATATATTCCATAGTTATATATTAGTTTACTAGGGAAATTATCGAATGATTATGATAAAGAGATACATAAATAGTTTTGTTAGTTCTTGTTTATTATCATTACTTCACATATACTACACAGACGAATTAAACAGGTTTAAGATAGAGCTAAATTCACTTATCCATATGCCTATAAACCATTTTTTTTGGATTATGACTTGTATCGGTTGATAATAAAAACTGAATCTCTAATCCTTTAACTCTAACCAAGAACATTCTGGGGTTTACAAAAATTAATATGAGTACGTCAACATAGATAATTTATATGCATAAAAATGAGTTTATATGTTTTCAGATAGATCCACTAATTATACGCAATCTGTTTACTGTTTGTATTATTACTGTTTTATTTTTCATAAAATATTCATTCACAGAGGCTATTTTCTGAATGACAAAATATTGGCTGATGATACGTCACGGTTATTTTAAGCTCATCCTCATACTGTAATTGGGATAGGATATCTGTCCGTGGATTCGAAGCTGATGAGTGTGCAATATTCAGCATTCTTCAGTTCATTAAGTAAATGAATAATGCATATAAGAGCATAATTTTCTCTGGAGATTCGATTTTAAGCTCTAACTTCCACTTTATTTACTTTTTAGATCTGAAAGTTGACATGAGTTAAAGTAGTGTGCTAACAAAAGATATATAGATAGCTCTGGATGTTTGAAACAAAGTCCCCTGTGAAAAACTACACTTTCATACGCAGCGCCGATACAATAAATGATCAGTAAAGGTGCTCAAAAATATAAGACATTGAATTTTTTTATTGACAATTGGAAAAAGATGGCTATTCTCACCCCTACACTTTTAGCAACATAATCATCTTTTGAAATCCAGTAGTGTTTAGATACAAATGTTTCGATGAATGATAAAATGTCATCAGATAGTTCGTAATGTATTATTTAAGCGTATTGCATCTTTATTACCAGAACTGTTATCTCATCAGAACTTAGAAAGTTAAATATGTTCCTCCGAAATATCAACAAGAATTAAAGAAAATCAAGAAATAACATAAACGATACCAATTTATAATTGAAATCACATAAATGTGATAGTTCAATAGTTGTTTTCTGCATTCTGAACACATAGGGGAGAATTCAGAAATCGACAGTGTAATTCCACTGTATTTCATGACAAAAATAACGGAATCAATGACCTATCTGAAGATACCTCCCTGTAAAAAGTTCACACTAGAATACTACACACGAATTCCATGTTATAGTTGAAGGAAACTATAATGATAGCGGATTAATAATTAGAGCGGAAGCTGACCATTGTACCCGTGACAACCGCATTGTGTTCCACACAGTAAATACGTCTACCCGGCTTCCTATCTTTACTACTATTGTGAAGAACGAGAACCATACACTGAATAATTCATTTGCAAATTTCTATCATTTGTCTTCCGCATTATGTATGATTCTTCCTATTCGCTATTCCTGTCTATTTCTCTTTATATTCTCTTCAACTTGACCTTCCTAGCCCTCTTCTGCCAGGCATTCCACTTCCGATTGGAGTTACATACGACTTGTATCTGTCAACACCACACTACTACTAATACTAATACTACTAGTACTACTACTGCTACTAGTCACATTACTACAATTAAATTTCGACTCCTTTGTTATTCATCTTGTCAGTTGTAACCCATCATGTTATTGGGGACTAATAACTTGGGCCAGATCATATTTATTCCATTCTGGATTCCAATTATGACTGACTACAAATATATATACGTGATTTCTGCTTAAATCATAGATGACAAATATGGATAGTAAGGATTGAATGATACCGATAAGATGAAGTCTCATACTGATTAACTTAAGTTTATATTAGGAATTACACATGATATATATTTGCTACTGAATGATGGATATTGCTCAACAAATACATCAATCTACTGACAAATAACACATGTTTTTGTATTATAAAATGCTAAAATGTCATTAAAATAGTATGCAGAACCCAATGAACTATCTACTGAATGTTGAAAATAACTGTTTTTCTTTTAAAACAAAATGAAGGCTTGTTAATTGCCTTTCAGTTAGATTTATATATATATATATATATATATATATATATATATATATATATATATATATATATATATATATATATATATATATATATATAGTCAAAAGAAAATATTTATTCTCCAGTATTCTCACCTAAACATAAAACGGTTTGATGATAAAGTCTTCACAGTGATAAAGTGGTATTACTGAAAACAATTTAAACGTTCATTAAGATTTTTGATGGGAACTTATTGCTTTTGAAAAATTCATACTGAATACAAATCTCTTCAATATCAAGTTTCTTTATGAAACTCAGATCAACTATACTAGTTATCATTATGGATTATCAATAATATATTCTTTATAAGCTGAATAATATTTAAGTTTTTTTTCACTGAAAGTAAGTGTCGATATGAAATAATATCAATGAGCAAATTTTACTAATTAGTCCTATTACCGGAATGGGGGTTTGTGCAGACTGTAGTAATTTTTAAGAGGGATTCCATGGGAGATCTGATGAGAAGCCGTGGACAGTGGAATCCAATCTGTGTTGGGTAAAGACAAGTATTTGTCTCAGACAATGGATGAAGAGTTGTTAAAAGTCATGAATCAACTGAAGTAAGACAATAACACCACTGGATGGCGGCTTAGTGGTCTAGAGGTTAAGCGTTCGTGCACAAGATCGAAGGTCCCGGGTTCGATTCCAGTGTACGGGATCGTGGATAAGCACTGCTGAGTAGCCCCATACTTGGATGAAACAGCCATCCACTACTCCAATGTTTTCATTAGTGGTCTAGCTTAGATCGATTCATGAATTTAGTTATTAAAATATTCATCAGTTACTTTTAATTTCATGCTTTGATCAAGCCATGTTAAATTTTTATTTAGTCATAACAATTATGTTTTTTACAAATGACATGATTAACAAACTTAATTAGAGTAATCATTGATTTCAACGCATATTTCTCTAAAAAAAAAAACAATTTACAAATCTATACATAAAACTGAAAGAAATAGGTTCTCCTGTACGCGCATTCTCACAAGAAAGAGTGACACTATTTTTATGTTTTGCCTGATAAAACATAATAATCTTCTTTACATTACTGTTTCTAGTTCACTTTTGAAAAAAATAACACAACAACAACAACATATTGATCGATATAAGTGAGGTTTAGTCGTGATAAATAATAAACAAAACACAAACACTGACAAAACCATATAACCACTGCAATTCCATTTGTATTCATTTAGTTCTCATTTGGTTCATTTTGTGTATGTGTATGTGTGTATGTGTCAACTGTAATTTTTTTCTTTCAATTTATCTTTGATTTTTTTAGACTCTGTAAAACCACTAAATCACAATTACAAAGTAAGCAGTCTAGTTTATTGTCTATCATTGTGATTCATTAATAATAATAATAATACCATTAATAATAATAATAACCTCTATTCATCACCTGAAGATAATAATTATATTTGCACTTTATACCTAACGGTAAAATGTTCATTTATAACCGGTAATTATGATCAAAGAAAAAATAAAGAACAAACCATCATTGAGAATTTAATTTTTACAATCGAGTTTTATTTTTTTTGATTTCGTTTTTATTTAAAAAGAAAATCGAGAATATTGTGTGTTTAAACATTCTGTTTCATGATATTCTATAGTGAATAATTGAAGATGAAAAAAAAACAAGATTTAGTTTTCAAATTCCAAAATGAATTGATAGAATTAGATTATACTAATCACTATTGTGAAAGATTAATGATCTTACTTAATATGGTTCATTGTAGTAATTGATAATTCTCATTCAAAATAAAGTGTCAAGGGTCCTAAGTTAATCGTCACATGAGTTTATATCTATAGTTTAGTCGTGAGTTAATTCATTCTGTTATGACTTGTGGTCTTGTGCCTTACGAATGTATAAAGTAATGATACCGCGAAATAGAGATCAGTGATTTATTAACCGGACCAACGACGCATAAAATCCGTACGAGTAGTCTAGAGTCCTTATCGGTCCGTTCCCTTGCCTAGCCCTGCCTCTTGAGTCCAGAACACCAATCTCAGCCTTCGTGATATGAATCATGTATTTCTAACATACTGGATTTATATACAAATCAAATAGACCACATCGTACCATAAAATAGAAAATACTGTTTATATAAGAATTAGACAAAAGTGGCTGTGAATGTGGGAGACCGCAATTAGTAGACTAGGCACCACTCAAGAACGGTAGTCTATGGGTCAAAATAAAACTTGAAATAAAGGGAGTATAGATATACATAATTTAGCTACTGAATAGTTATACATTAAGAATATAAGTATAACATTTGTCCATAAATACTTCTCAAAAGTTACCGTTGATAATTGTTGTCGGGATATAACAAAATGTATCTCACCAAATTATTATATTTATTTTTTTAAAAAGTAATCACAGTTATCATTTGATTTATTTAATATTATTTCTAATGTCTAACGTCATCGGGATATAAAACTTTCATCTTTTAATATCAAATGGGGAGTCCCACAATAGGACGAAACGGTCTTCCAGTACTTCCAGGTTTTCCATGGTGGTCTAGCTTCAACTGACTCATGATCTTAACCATTGAAATTACATTCATTTTTTGTTCGTTTGCTTTTTACTAGTAAATGTTGATGGTAATTCATGCTTTACAATACTTAATTTAGTTTTTTTTGTTTATTCAAAAATATTTTCTGTTTGCAATACTAATGTCCTTGTTGACACCATCTTGCTAGTCCTCTCCAGACGCACTGATATAAACATAAGAAAACCTACAGTCGTACATATTTTTGTACTAATTGATACATTAATTAAATTTTCCTTCATCACATTTTCTTTCAATTAAGTAACGCTTCATGTAATATTGTATAGTTTTGTATTATTGCCCTTAAACTTGCTTTTTGTTAGTATTATTTATCATAGGGAAAAGAAAGCTTGATTCAATGAAAGGTAACAAGAATTCTTATACTTAAAACCAAGTGATAATATTAAAGTGATATAAACTACGTGAAATAATAGGTTGATAATTATATGTGTTGAAATATTTAGAGTTCACATTTTATATAAGATCACAACTATGAAATATATTTCAATGGTATATCTTATTGTTATATGTATATTGATTGTTTGAATCCTCCAGCTGATGTTTAAGGCTGGAATTGACCAGTCTCTGTTGACATATATGGATACTGTGAATATCATCTCGATTACGTTACAAGCATTTTTAAACAGAGGTAGATAAATTGCAGTCCTAAACATCAATAGGAAGATTAAAACAACCAGAACATATAAATTAACATCTATCTTACCACACAAGCCAGTGGCTATTTAGACTCATTAGCTAAGTGGATTATGTAAACAGTATAGGCTCCATAAAAAAAACATGACTTACTGTCTGAGTTTATTTTGAATTGTAAACAGTATATCTGCTTTTACGCATAACTAGTCGGAAAGGAAATTTAGTTTATTTAACTAGTTATAATTCTTATCGACTTACTTTCTAGTCTACAGGAACAATAATGAATAGACTCTATTTACTTTGGGAGTTGAACTCAATGTTCTCTGCTTCATATTTCAATATGTTATTCAAATAACTGCTAGCTTATTCAATTGATATAGTAACTATTATGCTGTTTCATACAAAATTCAATTATTTTCACATTGAATGAATCAAATTACATTGGTTTATTTGAAAGACAATAATACTAATGTTATAGACTTATTATCATACATATAAAATGTAACAGTTCTTTAGAAAAAGGGGGTTTAAATGCAATGTATCACAATAAAAGCGTTGCATTTAACTCGATTAAAAAATTTTGTTGAACGATTTTAGTGGTCAGTATGTATGTTGGTTCTATGAGTTTTAACAATTTTTCTATTTATTTGGTAGGTTAGCTCTAGATGTTTGTGTACTTTACACTAGAAATTTGATTTCAAATCTTAACTTGTTTAATATTTGTCTCTCACTCGAGATATTGGACTGGACCACAATGGTTTGTTAATAATAGATAATTGTAGATAACTTCCAATACTTAAAGTGAAACATTTAGTTAATAATATTAGATGAACGGTAAAATAACCGAATGTATTGAATAGAAATTACTTATTTAATGTCAAACATAGACATGAAATCACAAATTTCGGTTTTAAATATTGATCATTTGCATGTTATACATATGAGATGCTTAATCAATACACAAAGATAAAAGTGACTTTAGAATGACTTAGTTTAGCTCTCTATTTATTGATCAACTTCAATCTTATTGAAGGTGTGCTAGCGTACGTGTATTTATTGATTTCCGTAATTTTTCATATGCTACAACTAGTACAGTATTATACTCAAGTCACATGATAACCGTTTTTGTTTGGATGTTCACAACTGAATTTTGTTGTTATGCTTTGAGAAACAAATTGAACAAAGAAAGCTTGTCAAATATTGATTGAATGATTATGAATTGTAGTACCCATTTGAATGAACAATATATATATTCATTTTGGCTGGTTTAAACATGACGAGAAAATGTGAATTAACCTGCGAGTTAGTCAACGAAAAATAAAATTGTGTTATTATCTTAGTAAAGTTGAATAGTGACTAGCAGTGGAGTTCAGGAGTTCTATCCCATTCGAGGTTCATCTTCTTGATGTCCCTACCTTTCAGTTTTATTGATCATGTTGGGACTTGAACCAAGTTCCATTAGCTTCAAATGTTTACCTGCTATCGACTGAGCTAATGAGTCAAAATAACTATTAGCCTGTACAAGGGACATGATAAGTTGAGTATTTTTTACATAAGCTATTAGAATATACGAACCCTTACAAAGAGTGTTAGTATTTAAACTTAAAGGTTTTTAAATATCTGTTGACATTGTAAATGATTTACTTCATGGATACTGATCTCAGTTGAGACATCAGTGAAAACGAATCAATGTTCACAATCAACTTTCTTTTATAAAATGTTTTAATGAAGTTGCCTTATCAAACATTTATAAAGTTCTTAATATTCATCAACATTTATTTTTTATCTGTGCATTTAACACACACTGCAATGCATTGTCTGTTTATCTGAACAACTGCTACGGAACATCAATCAAAGATTGAGTAATTAAGAATTGAGAACGTTCAGTGAGTTCTAGCCGCCGACGGTGAATACAACTTCTTGAAGGTTTCATGTTTTCTTCAACGATGATTACAAACATGTGTGGTTATTTTCCTTGTTATCCAAAACAGATAAATAGCTATGGAAAGATATCGATTTACCAAAGAAATTTAACAACGACATAGGTCTGTAGAAGAGAAATGTCTTTTATATCCATTGCTCCTACAAAAGTTTTTATAACGATTCCAGTTATTATATCTATGGATTTGGGTGAGACTCATGCATAATAAAAAAGATTGCTTTATTTAAACATACGTGAGGTAATAGTAGCGTGTTTGTAAATTCAAGGTCTTTTTTTAAGGTAGAACGTTGTGCTTATATTGAGTCTTCTTGACTGGATGGTTTATTTAAGAATCTATGTTAATCTTTTTGGTCAAAATCATCAACACTTACTTTAAGTAGAAGAGAGTACTTTGATAATTCCACAAGTATAAAGCGGAGACTAGATTTATTCTGTAGAGTATAGTAATTGTAATATAAACGTGAAGTCAAGACAATCTGATAAAAAACAATAACAACAAGTGCATCACTTGTGATATCATACAGTGCAAAATTCTCCCAAAGTATATTTTAAATTAAAACTAAATTTATTTTGTGATTGAGATCATGAACCGATTGATTTTAGACTACCGTTGGAAACCTGGAAGCACTGGACGGCCGTCTCGTCCTATTGTGGGACTCCTCAGCAGTACGCATTCACGATCCCGCTCGCGGGTTCCGGACCCAGGGCCTTCAGTCTCCCTAGTGAACGCTTAACCAACTGGAACACTGAGACTGAAGGCCCTGAGTTCGAATCTCGCGAGCGGGATCGTGAATGCGTACTGCTGAGGAGTCCCACAATAGGAAGAGACGGCCGTCCAGTGCTTCCAGGTTTCCAACGGTAGTCTAAAATCAATCGGTTCATGATCTCAATCAAAAACTTAATAATCTCCACAACCCCTATACTGGTAAATTTATTTTAACACTATTCTTCTATCGGCCTCACATTCAATGTTGAAAATTTGTTCAATTCCTTCATACTGAAGAACTATTAAGGAATGATGGTGTTTTTGAAACTACAATAAAGTATCAAGTATTGGCATAAGTGCTGTGGAAATTACGGAGTTTTGTTAATATTATGTTCACATCAACAATCTCCATAATCCCATACTATTAATTATCATGTGCTTACTTGTGACATGCTTCGAGAGATTTCCAGAGCTTTAGTAAGAACTCGTGATCAGGAGAATTTAATCCTGTTGGATGTAAGAAAATTACCCACTGTAAGAATGGAAAGTGGTACGGCAATGTAGTTCACACACCACTGAATACTGGCTAAGTGGTTTACAGGTTAATCGTACACGCGCAAGACCAAGGCTCGATTCCTGCTTGTAGGGTCATGACCGAGTACTGTAAAGTAATTCTACTTCTTTCAGGTTTCCAATGGTTGTCATGAAAATTAAGAACTTTCTAAATGTCAAGATATATTACCTTTTTAAATCCATGACAAATTGGCTTTGTATTGTTGTGTAATTCACAATATTGTATGCATTTACATATGTGTATGTATGTACTATACTTTCTCCTTATTAATAATCTTCATAACGTATAAATTGTTACTTTAAGTATCTCATTAAAATTGTCAAATAGACAAATATTTTATGAATATTTTGATAATGTATGCATTACATTACAGTATTGTGAATTCTTTTCTTTCTCCTAAAGGCATTATATATAATTACACACATAATCTCACTAATAACCTGTACTTACATACTGAAGGAAATCATTTGCATATCAATGAGTACAATGATTCATAATGTTAAATGCTTTAATTTGTGTACATACTATTGAATTAACGGTAACATTAATATTCATTTGATTGTTTTTGGATTAAAGTCTTTTTGTTTTGTTTTGTTTTGTTTACCGTCTTCAAAACCGGTTAACTTAATTGCTTTTTTTATAGAACGATTCATAGAATGAATTTGATTGAAAAATAAATAGTTAATTAGCCTTTTGTGAATTGTATCACGAATTAATTGTAGTTAAACAACTATTGTTAGCTAGAGAATACTAGATAGCTATTTTATACTAGTCTGTGACTACCATAATAAAATGACACAATTGTTCAGGTCTCTTTACTTTCCAGTGGTTATCTAAAACTAATCCTTGATATAAGCTATGAAATTTGACTATTTTTATAAACCTCTGTAGAGTAGCAGTTAGTAGGTAGTTAGTCATTTATATTAACTTGTAAGTAAATTGTAATCTATAAGGCATAAGTAGTTAGGATACTGATAATGTGGTGTGTGCTACTGATATCGACAGATATAAGTAGTATTCACCATCAATTGAAAATGAAATGTCTGGAGGCAGAAGGTTAAGAAGATCGAAGAAAAGAGAACATGAACAAAGAATGATTGGTGTGGAGAAGAAAGAACAATGAAGTCTGAGACGATTGATGGACATTTTACAAATGAAGTATTTACTGCATGGTTCCCAGATGTTCTGTGATTTTATGTTCAAATATATTCGATTGTCCCCACTTGTGTTCGCGTTTACTACTATAGAATACTTGTCTAATTCCTGAAGAATTATCGGTTGTTGTTTGATAATGTCTGGAATCTTCTAATCCTGTTTTATGACTTGAATAACAACTAATACTACCTAAAATTTTATCGAAGTTGGCTTCCAGTATGTATAATTTGTTAAGGACATAAAATAACATACTGTTGCTTAATTTTAGTGGATAATTATAGAATAATACTTTGATCAAGTTAAATGTTCAAAAGTTAACAAAGCGTTCATAAAGTAGTCATTTATTATAATACTATGGTCAGTGATACAGTGGTTGCTACAAAATCATAATATATATTTTACACTTATTGTAGACAAATTGTCATATATTTTAAACACAGATAAATATGTACATACATATTATACATATAAGGAAGTTAAGTGAGATGAATGTATAAAATCTTTCATATTCCAATGGTGTAAACAGTTAGAAGATACACATTAGTCATATTTTAGATTATATACATACTTGTTCCCAATAATGTATCTGATATTTTTGGCCGACGTTATTGTGTTGCGTGTGAAGATGATATGAAAATTAAAAAAAACATACATCCGTTTCAAACAATTGATTCCTACATTATTTACTTTCAGTACATCAAGGGATTTACAATTGTTTACCTGGATGAAGTATTACTCAGTATATAAAACCATAGTTTGATCAGTCTTATTTTCTGGTTGTGAAACATAAACTTTTAAGTTAAATGAACTATCTAATTTAATAGAATTTGATCATCAATAGCTTTGAAGAACTGTTGGTGTATAATGAGTAGAGCCAGCTTTCAATACTGAAGTTAGACACAGAGTAACAAGCAATAATAGCAAGTGGTTGTATGAGCTTATAAACTTTTGTCGACTGAGGTGGTTCCGACATGTGTTAGGTACACTTAACTCCTACCACAGAAGCTGTTATAAGGAAAACTCGCGGTGGACAAAGACAAGGGGTTAGTTTCTGAATTTAATGTCTGTCGGTTTTAGTTGTGTTGATTGGTACTCTTGCCTTAAATTATCCACTTTAGTTAAGGAAACATTACAATGATTTTTACTGTTTGTTAGGGCTTCATTTAATTGTATGTGGACGAGTTGAATGACATGTTTGCAAACAAAACGCTTGCATAAAGTATGAAATAATTAATGTTGTAATGAGGAGATATTGAAAACGATGAATATATTAGCGAGCAACAGTGAGACTGATAAATAAACGAGTGAAATATTTTGAGTTGAGTTGAATTTATCCATTGATGAATTCATACAAATCGGGGAAATTACAATCGGTGCTGCATTACTTAAGTAAATAAGTAGATATTATATATTACGGAAATATAGAAAATTCTTTTTAGCCATTAGACAAATGAAAGATGCATATATTTATGTAGTTGTTTTACTGAACTTCAGTTCTTCGTCGGAATCAAACAGAATACACAAATAAACAAAAATCAAGCTACTTCGAACTCCTTATCTTTTTGTCCTGTAATTCTGCCATGTTTGACCTTATTTGTTCATTAATAATCAAGATTTAATTTTAATAATAGATACATGATTTTCATGAAATTTTGTCATCTGAGTTGGACTAAAGTTTTCACTTAAAACAACCTGAATAAATTAAAGAACTTAGTAGGAAATAAAACAAACATTGGTATCTCTAACTCTACAGAACAAAGACAACATCCGGATGACCATATGAGAACAAAAAACACTAAAGAAACTCAGATCCAAGGGTAATATTTTCATCGTCTTGGAGGACAAAAGATGCACTACAATAATTATGTATAAAAAGGAATATGCTAGGGAAGTCATGTTGCTACTTGAGTAGAAAAATATACAAATCAATGAACAGAAATTCGTTCGAAAGGTTGGACGCACAGATCTATAGTGCATTAAACAAGCTGACAGAACAAGCAACCAGGCATATGTAGAGAAATTTGGATACCTCACTCTTACCTGCACATTATTCTGATGATTTTATTCAGAAGAATAACGAAAACTTCATGAATACACCTCTCAGCTCAGAGAATGAAACTCTACCAAAATCATTCATCTAAACTACAAATCTCCACCATCTCAAAATTAATAAATGTCTTTTATCATGCTATTTTGTCAAAGTGACCAGTTTAGATATGCAAAATATTTGTAATTTAGATCGTATAATTAACAATTTTAAATAATTAACTGTTTTTGTTGCGGTTTTTCTCTACTATTATACTCTGGTTAGAAAAAAATGTGAAGTATGCAACCTTTTTTGTAGCTGTGGTGATTGTTATTTTGTCTGATGTTAATATTCACAGTACATACCAGTTAATAAGTTTTGCGTACGCTTATCAATGTGAATGTGGTAGAACAGTGAAGTGAAGAATCTGTTAGTTAGTTGATCGATTTTCATTGATTTACAGAATATAAGTTTCTTTACTTATGAAGTTAGTGTAGGGGTTATTAGTTTTTATCGATTTTCTTCTCACTAATAATCATACTGTACAAAAGTCATCGTCAGTCATAAGAGTAAAAAATTGTCTTAGCGAAAGTCAAATTCATAGTTGAGCTAATTAAAAGCTAATCTGTTTTCAGTCAGATCATCATTTGAATTCTAGTGACTTTCGTTTTGATATCGTTTGATTTAAGATGTAGCACATTGTATCATGTAGAGTAATTGGTGTTACATACAACTTAAGGTGCTGAGTAACAAGAAACCATGAACATATAATTCTAATGTTATATAATATTATTCTGTTGTAATTACCATTTACGATATTCTACGTTTAACTGAATCTCACTAATTATTGAATGTTTTAGGGTTATTAGGTCTAATTTAAAACAATTGATTTTTTTATTTCATCCTTATGTGCTAACTAATACTGAGCCTCATAAACGTCATATTAGTTTGACCAACAATTCTTTTAATCTCTTGATTGAAGGATTGGAAATAAATAGAAATTCAGTAACATTGGAACAAGTACTTGGTGAAGGTCAGTTTGGAGACGTGTATAAAGGATCTTATCGTAGAAAAGTAAGCGTTAGTTGTAAATAAGGGTTTAAGATTTATAATTTTTCTTCTAGTTTACTTGTCAACAGAGTACACGCCCTTTTATATCTATCTATCTATTTACTTATGTGTGTCTAGAAGGTGCAACACAGTAGATTGTGTTGAAAATTATTGAAAGGTGTTATGAAGAATAAGCTAAGATAATAAACGCTGAAGAAATTTAGTCATATTATAAGAATGTTTCTAGAATATAAACACGAGGTTATCTAATCTATTAAATTCATAATCAATAAAAGTAATCATGATAAGAATAAGCAAATTATAATGAGAGGATACTGAATGTAGATGATTTAAATCCGACTCATACATCTGAAAGTTAAATTAATAGTAAAACCGAAAGTTTCCAGATAAATGACTACAAGCGGATATTGCTGAAGCGAACTGAAATAGCATCAAACTAAAGTTCTTTCCAGTTTTTCACTAGTTACTTAGTTTGATTTCAGTCAGTAATGAAGTACTGTCCTTTATTATTTTATGGTTTTGGCAATACTATGAGTTTCATTTGTATTGCTTGTCGGCGCTTTAAATTTCGTTGGTAAATGTTTAAAAACGAAGTTGGATGTAAATCAACTCCAAATAGTGATGGTTTTCCTCAGAAAGTCAATAAAAGGTCAATTGCTTAACTAGCCAGTTTATTGTTGCAATCAAGGAACTGATAAGTACTTTTCTATATGGAGCTTCCAGTCGTGTCAGTCAGTTTGAATTAATGAAACTGAATAGCGAGCCTACATTTTATTTACTTGAATATGTTATAAGAAGTTTGACTCAAGAGGAATAAATGAATTCCATCACATAGCTTTTAAACATTTGATTAACATTTTTGACACCATGTAAATAAATAGCTTGAAATGTTTCAATTTAAATATAATATAAAAAAATAAACTCTTAATCTTTCCAAGTTCCATACCAGGTTATTACCATTCAGCAAGTGTAAACTTGAGTTATGTGTTCAAACTTAAGTAATTATCAAGTTTCCTTAGAATAGATGGATTATGACTAGCTGTTGAATACTGGATGTTCTTTTCGTTGTGCTTGGAACTCATCGTTTTATGTATAATTTATTTACTCTCAAAACACATGTGACAGAATGGCTATATCGAGACATTCCAAACATTAACCAGCAATAATTGTATTAAGTCCAATCTTGAATGTTAATAACGGAAGCATTTAAACCCTTACTATTAACGAAACGGTTATCAGTTATTATTAACAATTTGTGCCTTGGTAAAGGAGTTTTCCAGCATTACTTTCCCATATTTGATTACAGCACACTTTTTTGAAACACATTTGTTTTTATCCGATTACAGTATAATTAGATTCTTTTTGATTTCACGCCAACGTTTTAATATTATTCAACTAAACATAACACATGACATACTTGAAATTGATTGTATCTTCTTGGTTATATTAAGGACAGTCACATTTAGCATATGTGCATCGTGTGTAAATTACTTTCCTAATACTAACAGGAAAAGAAAAACAGTTATGAATTCGATTTATTTCCGTTGCATGAACCGACAACTATCTAAACCTAATAGCTCAGTGGATATCTTTTTAGAAAGTTTAAAACATAAGGTGCTATGCTACAGTTCGAGTGTGTTCATCAACATTTGAATGAAGGTATGTTCAACTGATGGATTATAAATAGGAAGAAACTCATGTCTTAGATTTCAGTATTAGCCACACATTAAATATATTAAAAATTGGGCAACGGTTATTAAAATGCTTCTTAAAAGAATCTATTAATTTACTGAATAATATTACTGAATATTCCAGGACATTGATCTTTTTTTTGTCAGTGACTTATTTTCATTTGCTTTTCTGTTTACTCACTTAGCCTAATTTCGACCCATTATTGGTTGCTGTGAAAACATGTAAACTGGACGCATCGTATGAAGAAAGAAAGCGTTTTTTAGAGGAAGCGCGTAAGTTATACTACTATTGTATTGCTAACTAAGCATAAATAAATTAATAAAATTAATTGTTTATTTGCACAAGTATAAAATACATTTTTATTTTATTTCCACTCCATTGAAATTGTTAGTTAGTTATTTGCATGCCCATAGAGAAACTGTTTGATTGACCGTGCATGTAATATTTATTAAATTAAATATATAAGTGATAGATTAGCCTAATATAATGTTACTCATTAATTCGTATTTGTATGCTGAGTTGTTTGAACAGTTTGCAACTAAATCTTTTTTCCAGTTTACCAATATGAAAGATATTTTCCAAATGTATTGTAAACTATGCTTCAATGCATTAAACAGCTTATAATTTATTAGGTTGGTAGATTTGTGGAACTGATCTAATCGTGGATTGAAAATTTTGATACAGTAAAAGTATGTACATAGATAAAATTTAATTAAAGTCAACAGTGATTGAATTTCAAGATTCGATCAACAGGATAACTGTCGAGTAGTCAAAACAATTTGAAACGTCCCCTTTGTAATCCATATTTTTCAATTGTTATCTAGTTACAGTCGGTCAGAGGTGTAAACCGTATTTGAATTTGTAAAACTTCAATGGTCAGCTTACTAGTAATTTACGTCACAATGTTACTGAAGTTCTTATAAGAATTCATGACTAATAGAGATCAGATAAGTGAGGAGTATAAAGGTTGTTAACATTCACATTGGATGATCGTCGAATTTTGTCGCAAATTGAAATTATACTAGTGGATCCGAACGAGCTACTTTAATAGTCGCGTGTTTCTCAAATTATCTGAGGGTTTCGCATTCAACCCTACGTGTGATGGTGAATCTACACTGATAATGAATCCCATATTAGCAAAAGAAAGCTGTTCAATGATCTCTAGTTATGGAAGGTACGCAAATCAATATTGACCTGTGGTGAATATAACTTCCAACATTCTAGGTTACTCATCTCATTCATCACCCGAATAGCATCAATTTCTCAAACCTTTAATCAGAATAACAGGAAGTCATATAAATGGTTACAGGCTTTTTTTATTACTTAGATATATAATGTGAATATAAGACAACAATATTTTCACGATTACTAGTTTCCGTAACTAAAACTCATAAGAATATTTTCTGAAACCTGTATAGTTAGTTTTTTTTATTCTCCACAAAATTTCCATTCTTTCTGCCTCGAATCTCTTATCGATTAGCACTTTTAACTGAATGAATAGATTATCATTACATCAATTTCTCAAATAATACACACTTTTTGAAGAGAAGAAGAGGAGAAACAATGGGGTAGATGATTTATGAACGCAAAAAAACAAATGAGAAGTAATCTCTTGATCGATTTTCTTATCAGTTATGGCGCTCTATCCTTTCTTTTAATTATCAAACTGGTCTACTTATCCACTTTTTATTTCTATCTGGTTATCATTTGCCTTATTTATTATGATTATTGTTATTATTAAACATAAAAAGCATCGTTAATGGTTAATGTCCAGTAAAGTAATATATACGTACATAAATGATAACAGTTAACTGCATATTTAATTAAATGGAATATAGTGGTTTCGATCCTCTTAAATATATGATTTAATTAGGAGATCTTTTGATGTTTTTCTAGAAAATATCATTAGCGTATTATTCTACTTGAAAGCACTACACTTAAACAATATAGTTTGAGATAGGAAAAGAAAGTATTGTAAATTGAAACTCTCGAGTAAAATTTCTAATAGCTTACACACCCCTATTGTAGATATGAAGGATTATAACTGATCAACCTCTATTGGGATACGTGTAACGTTTATTCACGAGTTATGATAAAATTTGGATTGTGACTAGAAGTTATATCATGATGCTAATTCAATTTCAGTTAGAAATTACCACCTGGAAGCACCCGTATCCCACTGAAATTAAATAGCAATATTTAGGATGCATATATGCCAATGGAAACTGATCGAATAAAGTTTTAGATATCAAAAACATGAAAATACAAGCCCATAAAATCTAAATCCTAAACCATCAGATAGGTTGAAGGCTTATGAGATAGCTCATTAGTGTTTGAATCGAAACGTACTAAGATTGGATATCATTACGAGCATCAATAGCTGATGAGTTTCGAATGGAACGAGAAATATGATCTGGATTTCACTTCTGTGCACAACGTCATTAAGAAATGTTGCATCGAAATCTCTAAAATGAAAAACGGGAACAATATATAGGTATTGATCAGATATAGCTCAACAAATTGTTGCGAAAGTCCCTTTTTAGAAAGAAGGTTCATGTCTGCAAATAACAGTATGGTTGTTTACATTATTATTAATAGTTAGTTGTGAACCTTTTTTAATTCACTGACTGATACTGTCTAGCTACAAATGCTTTTGAGCTTACTTTTATCGATTACTCTATTATCGTAGTCTTAAATTATTTCATGTTGCATTGTGACGATTGAAGTCGATCGATGAGTGTGCCATTATTGCTTATTGTAACTAATTAGATTCTTTTATGGTTGTAGTAAATTAATAGGTTGCATGGAGAAAAACTAGTGATTAATTAAATATGCACAGTTCAGTAAAATTATTTGACTTGTAATTTATCAATTCAGTCAAAAATGATTTACAGTAAGGCGAATGCTTTTCATTATATTATTAATTCGATGTCATTATTTTCCTCTGTTCAGTAAATGCAGATTCAATTGCATAAGTTTAAATGACCATTTTTCACTCTCAGTATGCAATCTCAATCATATATTTTAGTACCAGTGGGTTAAAAAAAGTATTTATTATAAGCTTAGTTAGTCCTATTGGAATATTATAACCGATTAAATTCAACAGTATAACAGTTTAAGGCAAGTAAGCACTTCATAAAACCGTATAATCATTATGTTATCATCTCGAAACTAGACTGAATAAGGCTCATATGAACAATTGAATTTCGTCATTTCGTTATGTTGAAATAATACTTGAACAGAAGGTACATACAGGACTAAATATTTGTCCATGGTCTTTTCACTTCACCGTTGTAATACAGCTAAAAAAATCAATTCTTATTGAAAAAAATAATCTATAAAGTGTTAGAAAATATTGGAATAATTTGAATAAGTTAATTTGGTGTTGTTTTACTTGCATCTTCTCATTGTTATTTAGGACTGCAATTGATCAGTCTCATATTGGCATATGTGCATTCTGTGCAGATCGCCTCGATATAGCCTTAAGTCACAAGAAAGTGGCTAGCAGCGGAATCCAGGGCGCGCGTTTCGTCCTATTTGGGACTCGTCAGCTGGATGCACCTACATCACAAAGTTGATGTTCACTCCAGGACTTAGTAGCTAAGTGAAGAACGCGATGACGTTTGAAGTAAACAGTACTGGGTTCAAGTCCCAGAGTGAACATCAATTCTGGGATGTAGGTACGTCCAGCTGACGAGTCCCAAATAGGACGAAACGCGCGCCCTGGATTCCACTGCTTGCCACTATCAAAACTTGAATAAATTACTGGCATAGTTATTTCTGTCTTATTTACTGAAACATATATTCTCAATGGTTTAGTGACCAAGTTGACCAAAACAATTCAGATCGACTATTGTAACCTTAGTGAATTTTTTTCACGATAAGTATAATGATAAAGTTAAATGACATAGCATTTACGTATTTCCACTTGATTTCAATGCGTTATTAATGAGTTTTTCTCAAAGAAATATCATTCACCACTAATCAAATATCTAACACTGATCAAATTCACAAGAGATTAATCGGATAAATTCCCCGGAAATGTAAACATTCATGACCTATATCAATCAATCAACCAATCATTATGCTTTGTTTTTTTTCATTCTCTAAAATCAACACGAATATTTCTATCCCGAGTAAACAAAAATACAAACAATAAAACAAAATAAACAATCAAAAATTCATACTCAATATTCATTCAATTTAACTATTCATAGTCAATAGGGAGTAGTTGTTATCTTTGGAAAAATTCATTGTTTGTTTGGTTGTTTGTGTTTTTTTGTTTTTTTTTCTCTTGACTTTTTAAACTGAGTTATTTAACAATGAATTAAATCAGATAACTAAATCTAATGTCAATTGTGACATCAATGTTTTTAATCTGGTTGTAAATAGTTTGTTTGTTGTTGTTGATTAATATGAGTAAATGAAGGTAGAGATGAACTTGGATTCGACTTCAATATGCAACACTCTGATTTAAAATTTCATAGTTTACATGAAGTTACTTGTAAATATTACCCTGTCATAATTATTGAAAACTACAGTTTTAAAAATATAAAAATGGTTATGATTATGGAAATTGTTTAGCTTAAGATAGAGAACAAGTTTAAAACTACATATCAGTTATAGAGTATGTCTTGTTCCTTTCCAGTCCTGTCCAATTTCTGTTCATTTTTCTAATGCCTGTCTCCATTTTTCGGCGTAATGTGTTCTTTGGTCTTCCTCTCCTCCATCGGCCTTAAGGATTCCATGTGAGGGCCTGTCTGGTGACGCGATTGGGTGCTTTTCTCAATGTGTATACTATACACTTCTAGAACTTTTTCCTGATTTCTTCTTCCGCTGGGATCTTGTTTCGCTTTCCTACAGTATATTGTTGCTGATAGTGTCTGATCAACGGATCCAAAGTATTTTGCGTATACAGCTGTTAATAAACTCATTTCAAAATGAATGGTCCCTACAAATTTACATACTAATATACTATTATACTATTAGGCGAGACTATAATTTGTGGACGAACCAATCACGTAAAAGATAATAGGTCCCGGATTTTGGCGCGAAATTCACTCATCATTTGGATAAATAAAGTTTGGCATTATAGCTGATGTCAGTTTGTGATGAAAACCCTAAATCTAATTCTTAACCTTGATCATCAATTGTAAATCATAATGCTAATTCCTCACGTAGGATTATGACCCTCATTTGGTCCTAGTTATTTGGTGGACACTCTCAAGGTCAGTCTGGGGTCTCTCAAACATCGTCTATAAATTATAGCCTCACCGTAGATAAAATAAGCCGAAACTAAGTTGGTTATTCTTTTAAGATGGTAAATTTACTCAGGCTTTGAAAAAAATAAAGGAAAACATTAAGTGATAAATGAATTGAATTCACCGATTATAATTTTAATTCGTCTTAAATTAATGATAAACTACTATTTTTAAAATCTGTAAACTGAACTCTTTAAGAATCTTTTCATGTTATTTCTTATATAACTAAATTACTTCATTTTAGATTGATTCTTATCTAAATTATTAGTGGCAATAGGAAAGGCGGTATAGTCAATTTTACATTTTGTTGATTTTCATCAATTACCACTTTTTTTTTAAGATATATTGGGAGAATTTGATCATCCACATATTATAAAACTATTTGGTGTATGTTCTGATGAACCGATTTGGTTAGTTATGGAATATGCTGCATTGGGAGAGGTAAGTAAAAAATGATTGTTGTTGTTTGCGATGTATTTATCGTTTGAAATTACAAGTGATATTTTTAAATGATTCGATTGAATTAACCTTTATCTTGTTAGTAAGTAATTCTATAAGGTAATAAGCAATCTATTTACTGAACATAAGTGTTATAAGTGTTATCAATAAAAAAATCTACTTCAAAATATCGGAATCATTATTATCTATCAAAATGAATATTTTTGTACTATGAAGTAAAATTGAATAGTTGCTTTTAACAGTGGAATGTTGTTATTTTCAAGTAAACTTCTCGTTTTTGTGTTAAATTCTGATGAATCTCTGATTATTATCAGAAGGAGTTTTGTGAATATTATAGTCATTTCAATAGTTGAGATCATGAATCAGTTGAAACTAGACCACCATGGAGAACCTAGAAGCATTGGACGACCGTTTCGTCCTATTGTGAGACTTCTCGGCAGTGTGCATCCACGATCCCACCTAGCGAGATTCAAACTGAGAAACGAACGCTTAACCTCTAGACCACTGATCTGGCATCCAACGGTGTTAATGTGTAACTTCAGCTAATCAACGAAATTGAGCGACACATTCACATTTTAATCTCTGAATAAAATTTAATATTTAAGTAATTAATGTATTTTGTGTAAGATTAAACTGTGATTAAAAGTTTAAAATCATAATTTAAAAAAACTATAGTTTGATAAAAACTTTTGATATAAACAATTTATTCAACAAAACTGCAAGACATTATAGGGAGAGGTAAGAGTGTAGTGAACGAAGACTTGGTATGGATAACAAATTTATTGCTTCGTACAAAATTAATTAATTTGTACATCTTCCATCTATAGTTTCTTAAAAACTTTACCATTCCTTCATTCCTGTTGTTATTACAATTACTCTCTTTTTACATTTCTGTTCCCTTCAATTCGATCTATTCAACCTTTTACTCCCAGGCATTCTACTTTTCATTAGTGTTAAATGCTACTTATGTTGACAGATATGATTTGATATATCCTCTTGTTAAGTAGATTTTGTGCGTAGTTTTATTAGTATTATGTAAAATATTTGGCTCACTTCAATGAGAGTAAGAGCAAAATCGTGAGTGTTATTATATGAAAAGTTGGTTATCATTCATCAGAGATTAATTTTAATTGGTATACTAATGAAAACCAAGGAGTCGCAATATAGCGTGACATTTCCGCAAGCCGAGTGAAGTTGAAATCATACCGTTGAGCATCCGTGACCCTGCTTGCGATTGGACCCAAGAACTTTACATCTCACAGCGAATGCTCAATGACTTCAACCACAAAGTTGGAAGTCACTGGTACTATTCTGGTCTCTTTTTATTAGCTAAATATCATACCATATCAACAATGAAATGTCTGTCTAGTGTTCCCTGATTTCCAATGATACCATAACTGAGAATGATCTGTGATGAATACAACCAAGACAAAAACGCTTCTATTGATTTAATTCACATTTTCATTATTTCCTGCTTAATTCAAACGACTTAGACTAAGCAATGATGGATAGTGGCTAGCAGTGAAATCCAGGACGCGCGTTTCGTCCTATTTGGGACTCGTCAGCTGGATGTACCTGCATCTCAGAGAGTTGATGCTCACTCTGGGACTCAAACCCCGTACCATTCGCTTCAAACACCATTGCGTTATCCACTTAGCTACTGAGTCCTGATAGCCACTTGCTTGTGCAATGGGATGATCAACTGCAGTCTTAAACCTCAATGAGAAGATACAAGCCAAACAATGCCAAGTGAACTTAAACTAATTGTGATTTTTTTGTACATTTATCAATTATGAAATATTCATTTTAAACAAACTGGATATTAACAATCAATTCGTCCATACATAAAACAAATCAAGATTAGAAGATAGTTATCACTTTTAAATAAATTACAATTTTTGTTTTTCGGAGTTAACTAAAATTTAAATTTCAAACATGATTAATGTTCAAGTGATCAGAATAATGAAATATTGGACTATAACTGTTAAATATTACAAATATGTTTCTATGTATGCGAATACTCATCAAGCTTAGAACGAATAGTTTGGGCACCGAGTATGGAGAAGCATTATGTGTGAAAATCATATCTGAGATAATCATACATACATACACACATATACACAAACAGTTCGTTTCAGTCATTTATTTTCACATTGTGAACTTTTCATATGATTCATATTTAACTGACTCATGTTATCCTATTTACCGGAAATCAACATCTTAATGTGATTGAATTAGTACGGTAAAGATTTGGTTTAATTTAATGATGATTTTGATTTTGATAATTACCCTGAAGAAGTGCAGACAAGTTAGCTGGAAGAAACGTTGGCGATTTTTTCAAATGTGATTTTCACATATAATGTTTCTGAATAGTTACTTCAGTTAATCATAAACGATTGCTTAATAGTAACTAGTTTTTGTAATGTATTTCTTTTACATTCCATTAAGATATAATAAAGAATAGAATAAAAGAATTTGGGAATTTTCATTTCCATTATTCACCTCTCTTCCGTATTTATTCTTCATTATATAATTATTTGAACATCTTTTACAGTCCAATTTTAATAATCCTTAATGATGATCATCTTGAAGTTTGTATTCTTACAGTTTAAACCTACTCCCTATGCTAAAACATTGAATCAGGCCGTTATACCTAAACAATTCACTTTTACATGAAGCCAACACTGATGATCATGTCTAGAATGAAAATGAAAGTTTCTCAATCAAACCGCATAGCTCAGAAAACATAATATAATCAAGCCTATTTTCACGGTTTAAACCACGAACTGATCTTGGCTGGTTCACTATTGAAAAGTACTGAAATCCTCATCAAAATATTTTCAATATAAATATTTTTTGGTAGTGTATAATTTCAAGAACAAAGTAACATAAATGACTTACTTAATGACATATTCTTACTTGAAAAGAAACAGTAGAATGTTTTTCATTAATAATATTGGTTAAGCCTTAGGTTTATTAAATACTTACAGTAGTATGTAAGTTCTTTTTAGCACTAATAATCTTCTTCGTGATTAGAACTATGAACATTCTTCAGTTCCCACTAAATTACTTAGTATTAAAATTTTTTTTAGAAACTTTTCGTAATATCCACCTATCAATTGTCACCGAATGGTAAAATGAAAACTTTAGGAAACTTTTTTCTATTGCCCTAAATTATAATTATTCAGTTAGTTGCTTTCATTTGTAATCGATAAAACGAATTCTCCATTGATATCATTTTACTTTGTTATCAAGACTGAATGTATACCTATTATTTTTTGTACTGAGCTGTAGTCAATCAATATTACCAACACTTTGATGTTGCATTATCATGACTATTTTCAAAGAATATCCTGTAAATAGAAGTAAAAAAAATACTGTTTACTTGTAATTTGACACAATTAAACACCTGAATTATAGAATAAGAAATTTGCAATCCTTAGATTTCGGTCTTCAAAATGATAAGATCAAACAAAATACACATACCTTTTATCCTCAGTAGAAATAAAAAGGTTGGTTTTTATATTTCTGTAGTGGGTCCTTTACATTTTACTTTGAATAAGCGTATTAACGACTAGAAATGCTTAAAAAGCAGTTAGAACCTTTTCTGTGTATTCATAAATTCCATCAATAAATATCTTATCGCATTCATTGGAATGAAAAGAAAGAGGGAGAAGGATTCAACTTGACATTGAGAAATATGCAGAACAAAATAATATAAGTCAGATTCTAAAAGGTTACCCAGTAGAACGCAACGCTGAATAAAGAAATAGTATTTATTAGTGATTTTATCGAAGATATGTGAATGTGAAATGGTAATCGGCGTTTATTTGGAATGATTAGCGTTAATACTGTTATATCCGAGCGAAGATTAAATCATGAGTAACTTCTGAGACATATTAGTTGACTAATACTATCTATGCATTCTTATGGTATAACTATTCAATAACTAGATTATACATATTTGTATTTCTCTTATTATAAGCTTTATTTTGACCTATAATTTATTATTGTATGATTTACTGTTCTTAAGTTATACTCAGTTTATTGACTACTGACTCCCACGTTCACAGTCACTTTTTGGCTTTATTATGTACAAATGTTATTTCCTATTTCATGATGCGTTGCGGTCTGTTTGGTTGATATATAAACCCAGTATGTCTGAAATAAATGATTCGATTCGATTCGCATAGTGGAAGCTGGTATTGGTGTTCTGAACTCAAGTGAACGGGTTAGGCGAACATAGGACCAATAAGGACGCTGGGCTGCCCATACCGGTCGAACGTCATTGATTTGGCACAGTGCTAAGATTGTATAAGTCGTGTTTCGATTGGTGGATAAACCACGTGATAAAAAACCGGACATAAAGTCATAACAAATACCATATGGTAGATATTGTCCAAGTAGAATTCTTATATAAAGGCAAGTGATAAATAATCCACGAAAAATTTGGAGAAATTGATGAGTTATTTTAGATTGGGATAAGCTTGATATTCAGTGATCCCACGTTTTTTGTGGTTTTTATCAGGTGTCAATTTCTGATAAAAACATTATTTCATTTTATGAATTCCTTATATAATCACATTTAGTAATCCTGAATACATTCATTTCACTATTGATTGATTTAAAGATACCAACTAGTCTTATATAATCTAATCCTTAGTGATATCTACAATTTGTTTTTATCATGTTGAAATCTAACTATCATTAAAAATGAATTGACAGCTCGATAGTTTTAAGTACTAATGATATAGCCAACCACTTCAAGAATATCTCGTTGATGATCTGACGGGTTAAGCAAAGCCCCTTTTGGTTAACAGATACACTACGTAACCAACCATCGAGTAACATGAAGATTCAGTACTTGTCTTTCATTAAATTTGTTCGAGCTACTTAGCCTTCTCAGTTTAACCTATAAATGATATTTTTCCCTTTCTATATGAACAAAATATTCTCTTGTCAGCAAATAAAGACAATACCATGAAATTGAAACATCTTATGTTGGACACGAAGGCCACCTTAGATTTGATCACCTGTTGTGGGGTCACGTATACGCATTTCTGAAGAGTCTCAGATTAGTAAGAAAAACAACTGTCCAATGCTTTCAGGTTTTCGAAAATTATCCAATTTAGATCAGTTTGTGGTATTGATAACATTCAATGATCTCCACAAGCCCACTAAGGAGACAAAATAAACTTTCCTCCACTTTGATTCATTTTGATAAATAGGTTAGTGCATGATTTAAAATATTTAAAACTATATTTTTAATACATTATTATGTCTTATTTTAATGATTTTGTTTTATTTATTTTTTATCACTTGTAGTTACGCCATTATCTTATAGCTAAACAAAATGAACTAACCATAAAACAGTTACTTACATACTCCTATCAAATTGTAACCGCTCTAGCTTGTTTAGAATCTAAGAAATGTGTTCACAGGTAAATTAATTCGCAGTTTTTTAATGAACAATTAAATATCAAAATAAATAAATGTTTCAAATTTTAGAATAAAATGTTTTGTTTTAGAATGCGATGCTGGAAAAGATGTGTAACTTAGGTGGATAGTGAAATTGAGGTCGACTGAAATCATCAATCAATCAGAGAAATCATGCACAAATATAGGATCATGCAATCAGGTAGATAATACAGACATACAAACAACAATGCATTATAAGTCAATGGTAGTTAATCAAGATCAAGGTACATAGAACTAGTTGTCAGTCAAACGTGGAAAAACTGGAATAATTCATTTCAATGTGGAACTTATGGTGATGATATTTTAATGAAAGATCAACGAATGAAACATCCATCGAAGTCAGAGAGGAAAAGTAATGTCATTATTGTCTTTTACACTTTATTATACTTAACGTTGACAATATTTGATCAAAGAAAGTAAGCAGATGAAGAAGAAAAGGCTATACGGTCATGAAAAGAAAGATCCAATGGATGCATGTTGAGGAAATGGCTACCTCTAGAAAATTCTATATAAAATTTTCATTAAACCGATAACCATATACAAAACAACAAAATTCAACTAGAGATTAATCCTACCCGATATCAAGAACGTTTTCAACATTAAATGTAATTCATCAAGGTCTGTAGGGATTGGTGTTACCAACAAGTTTACAAAATCTATAAAATCGTAATTACATTAACCAAAAGACAAAGAAAGAAGAAAAGACAAAAAAATCTATAGGATAAATTGGAGCAATTACAAAAAGCACTATCTCGGACAAAATGACCACTATATTCATCTGCGCGTATATAAACAGCAGCTATCGTTTTAACGCTGCGACATAACTTTGCTTACATTAGTGAGTGGGATCTACTATGGAAATGAGCTCCACTGAGAAAAGATCACAACACTGGGTGTAAAGAATGCAAGAAAGTCAGAGACGTTTATTACTGCTGTAATAGATCAGCCAATGAGCAAACAGAAATCAATTCAACCTAACAGCCAACATCGAAAATGACGAAAAAACTGCAAGTTCCAAAATCGTTTTTCGCGAAAAGACGGTCGTAAAAATATGCAAACAACGGCCACACAATAATGGACAATAACTGAAGAAATTTTAGGTTGATAGAACAAGCTATAAGTCGCTTGTGGAGAAATTCCAATAATTTTTTTCTTTTAGGATTATGTGCTAATGATGTTGTCTAGAAATACAGTGAGGGTTACGCAACTAAACCACCCAGTTCAAGGAACCTAACATTTCCAAGAAGTAAAATTACAATAAATTCCATTTCTAAATACCGAATAATTAACTTCTAACTCATATGTATAGGCCTAAACATACGAGTACTGATCTGTACTAGATCCATAGTTCAATTATTTTGGTACGGTCATGTTTGTATTAGACGCATCATTTAATATCAAAACATGAAATAATTCTCATCGTGTCATAAATAAGACATGTCACCATTCATTGATTATAAGAAAAGGTGTCACGAGAGTTCTTAAATGCATTATCAGCATCCATCTCAAAATATTTTCCATCTGTTATAATTTAATCATCCTATTTTTATTTTCATTGTTCAAACATACCTGAATATTCTCAAAAAACAAAACAAAGTTGATATAATGTCGAATTATTTAGACTAATGATCGTATTAGAACTCGATCAATACAGTTCACTTCACAATAGGAACTACAAATATGTGACATTGATTATTTATGAGCCAGTTATGAATCTTCGTATAAGTTTGTATATTACGGTGAATATGTCAACCCATTTACACATACTTTTTGGTATTTCTACATAGTAATTCTAACGCCTATAGGTAAAAGTAATTGTTAAATTATTTCTCATACGGAACTTTAAAAAAAGAAACGATATTTAATTCACATAGTAGTTATAAAACGCACAACTATTTCCTTAACAGAAAAAATATTTCTAATGTTTATGAAATGTAATCACAATAAGCATTTTTCATTTTGTCAGGCATGGAAACAGTATCTGCCAACGTATACTTATTTTATGTTCGATTTTATTATATAATAGAATGATGATATTTAGCTCATTTAAACAAGTCATCATAAATTATATATGCATATTATCATTCTAAGTGTTACAATATGAGCATAGGTACACTTTGATTTTAATACTTTTCATTAAATGATGTGAACTTCAGTAAGGCTTTGTTTTCAAAACAAAGGAAACCATTTTTTGTTGTTGTTAAAGTTAAGTTTATTCTAACTGTTAATGATCGATCAATTAGTTAAGATTAATGATTTAGATAATCAACAAATAATTCTTCCGGTTTTCTAAACTTCCGTACTTATCAATAGAAAATATCGATTAGTTTGTTTGTCAATTTTTAAAAAAAATCAAGATAGATGATGGATAGCAGTAGATTACAAAAAGTACACATTGTCATACTTGGGACTTATCAACCGGATGTATCTTTATCCCAGAGTTCATTTTCATTGTGCGACTGTAACCCAGTTTCGTTCAATCTAAACCCCACTTAGTTACTGATTCCAAATGGTCGCTAGCTTGTTCAGTGGGGTGAATTTCAACTGAGATAAACCAGTGACGTACAATTCAGTGATATCTGGTTATCTTAGTTCACAATCTATTCAATTATTTTCGCAAACTCTCCTTATATATATATATATATATATTGTTGTCATGATCCTCTAACGTGTTTACTACATTTTAGAGATATAGCTGCTAGAAATATTCTTGTCTCAAGGCCAGATTGTGTAAAACTGGCCGATTTCGGAATGTCACTTATTTTAACAGATAAAAATGACTTTCAAGGTAAGTAAACACTTTATTTGGTAATGGAAAGATTCGTTTTTATTTATTTCCTTTGAATTAGCGCTATAATTTAAATATAACATTTGACGACCGTATGACTGAATGAGATTAGTTATTTATTGTGGTTTATTCGTGGAAATTCTGGTTTACTGTATGGATTGGATTAATTGAGTCAACCCCTGTGAAATAGGAAATGCTAAACATCTGTCTTATCTTATCCTAGGAACGTTAATTATTTCACAATCACAACTTCATCACGCGTCTAACCCAAGATCTTGTTTGATGGATAAGAGTACTTTAATTTTAGACTGTCAAAATTAGAATTCGATCGTTCAAACTCCCAACTTTAGTCAATATGCCACATCGTTGAACCACTACTTCTTACCACTGATTACACTTGTTTCACACTTGTAACTTATATTAGCGGTTACGCTTTTGTCCTTTTTGTATGAGTAAATATGTTCTCATATGTAAACCAAAAATCATTAAGCCGAACAGTTTAAATATATATATATATATATATATATATATATATATATATATATATATATATATATATATATATATAAATTACATTTTATTCTATTTCACTGATGAAATACTCTCAAGCATCATGAGTTACTTGTTCCTAATATTTAAATGGTAAATACCCAAATTTCTTGCCCTAAGTGTTGTAGAAAGTTTCGCCAAATGTAACGAGAATACTCCGATATGACTGCCTATATGAAATATTTAATTTTTATTTCTGTGTATCCCTAATTGTTTTACGTATCCTGTCTTCCGTCAGATTGTTAGAGGTAATCAAACCGAAATCCTGGGTCTAAGCCCGTGTAATCAATACTCGTCATTAAAATAATATATAAATTATGAGAGAACTGATATTCTTCCCGAGGATAGACATCCGACTGAGTTGCTTTCAATTATGGTGTCACCTATAAACTTTTTTGTTAACAACATATGGTTCTGTAAATATCAATAAATCAGCAAACTAATCAGTTCGAGTTCATGTTTATTGTCCAAAAATGAACGTTTTGAAGAACCCAGTTGCATAATTTTATTTTTTTTTTCCAACCGACATCAATTTGTGCCCAGTTCCATTTGCGATAAAAAGATATAAACCCTAAGCTCATTATTACGGACTAGATATTTTAATTCAAGATTTGGGTTTGCAAACGCCAGAAGTCATTGAAATATAATTCAGAAAGGGCTAACCACTATTAATTTTCTAATAGGGTCTATTGAGACGTTTTATCAAAGCAAAAATTTGAGTTTACAAATTCATATAATGTCTACTTATTCAAAGCTTTTCGATACGATAACAGACGGTGATAATTTTAGATGTAATGTTGCAGTCAGAGTTAGTAGATAGGGAACCTTACTTGATGTCAGTTGATCAGTTAATCTATTCCTTTGTTAACCAATCGTTTAATAAGGAGTTGATTTATGTACACCGTAATTGCTCATTTTAAAGTTATTATTAATCTATATTACAGTAAATATTGGAGCTGGCCAAACACAATACCATTATGACCGGTTTATATTGTCATAATAACAGCTATAAATATCTTTTTATATGACACTATTATTGAAACTGTTACAACATTATGATGACATGTAATTCACACATATTTCTATTACATATTTCATTGTCTTTACCTAGAAATTCCTATATTCGATCTTGTTAAGGGCAGTGTAATTGCCATTGTTGAAGTACTATTACGTCGGTTGTCTTAATCGATAAACATTTAGATTCTTATCCATCGACATTCTATGTTTATCTACAAATTTACTTATGACCAGTCAAGGCAACAACATAAATTATTTTTAAGGAGTGAAATAGTTGAGCTCACTAACCATTCACATTATCTTAGAATAAAGTTAACCAAATGTAATTGTACGAATAATCATTTGCTTTAGTCCAATTTATGTATGTTTGAGTCTTTCGATTGTTGAAATTTTGGTCAGTCTTAGTTAACATATATAAATACTATAGTGATTGTCTCGATATACTCAGATGGAAGAAACGCTAATCCTGGATTCCACTGCTAGTCACAGTCAATCTCTCTTATAAAACATCTATTTCGTCTATTGATCATTCATAAAATACTATAATACAAATCTATGTGTACTTTTTTGTTTACGTTAGAATACAATGTAAAATTGTGTCACTTAAACAACAAGGAATCAGATATTTTTCATACAATAGTTGTTTTCGTTAGTTGTCCAAGTATTAGAACAATAAATTAACACTAGTGTTCTTCACTAAGTACCTATTTTTGTAGCATATGGTTTGATTTGTACACTTAATAGCGTCATAACATTCTAGACAATAGTAGTTCTTTCCTTACTACCATATCAACCTATACATGGAATTATCATTTTAAGATTTATCTTGTCCTGAATTAAAATTTGTGACAGTGTAAATTTTCACATCAACTTATATATCATCTGTAGATATAATGTGATTAGAGTTAGCTAGGAAACTTATCAATTTTCGTCAGTTTCCTCATTTTAACCAGAAATGTTTGAGATGTAACAATAGTATTGATAAAGCGATATTAGTATTAAATGATTATAATAGAGATGGAGGAAAAAATTTCATTAATGGAGATAACTTAATGAAGAAAAATAATAATACTAAAAATTATGTAATAACAACTGTGAAAACGGGTTAAGTATAAGATTAAAATAAGCAAAGGTCAGATAAAACGTAGCAAATGATGAAGAAAAGAAAATTTTTAGTTGGAAACACAAACTGAGCTGTTACAAAACATCCTTATCCGTTACTTTCAAGTAATTTTTAACACAAATTAATTTTTGGTCACCTGTCTCTCTCCCCTTTTATAATTTTCATCGCATTATTTAACATTTGAATATTTAAACAAATGAACATTTCCTACAATTCTTCCATATCTTATTACTAAGCAGAGATGGGTGGTGGTCAGCGGTGAAATCCAGGACGCGCGTTTCGTCCTATTTTGGACTCGTCGGCCGGACGTACCTGCATCTCAGAGTTGATGTTCACTCCAGGACTTTAACTCAGCATCATTCGCTTCAAACGCTATTGCGTTATCCACTTAGCTACTGAGTCCTGATAGCCACTTGCTTGCGCAATGGGGTGAAGTTTAAATTCACTTGGTATTGTTTACTTGAATCTTCCTATTGATGTTTAGGACCACAATTGATCAGTTTCTTATCGGCATATGTGTATACTGTACGCATTGCCTCAATATTGACTTGATTCACACGCATTACATGCAAAGATGGGTGGTGGCCAGCGGTGAAATCAAGGACGCGCGTTCCGCCCTATTTTGGGCTCGTCAGTCGGACGTACCTGCATCTCAGAGTTGATGTTCACCTCTGGACTCGAACCCAGCACCGTTCGCTTCAAACGCCATAGCGTCCTAACAGCCACCAGCCTGTAAAGTGGAATAGAGTTTTAGTTCATTTTTTGTATTGGTTGCTTGAGTCTGCAATATCGATGCAGTCCGCACAGGACACACATATGCCAATATGAGACTAATCAACTTCTGTCCTAAACATCAATGGGAAGACTCAAACGACCAATCCAAAAATGAATTATATCTTATTAATGTTTTGATTAATCTTCAATCATTAGTATTACTGTGATATTATTATAATAAAGTACTAATCAGAAAGAAACACTGTAACTATTTAAACTCTGTCCTGGGAGTCATGATGCCTCATGGTGAAAGGCGATATTCTTTGGAGATCATGAGGCCGGTGCCCCTTCTTACGGCCAGAGCAACAAGCTGGATTCCGCAGGGATCGATCAAGCATCGACTGAATCATGATACTATGGATCATTGTTGAACAATCATTTGAATGGAACTCGTCACTATACATCAACTTCCTTATGTATGAAAAAGCATTTGTTAGCATGCATAGGAAAATCTCATGGAACCTTCCTCGACACTATGATGTACCTGAGAAGAATAATGATATCGAACAGAATTCATACGATAAACTACTGCAACGTCGTGCATGGAGGGTAGCTAATGGTTTCATTCTTAGTGAAGACCAGTGTCAGATAAGGCTTCTTAATCTCCCCCTTTTTTCTGCCTTCTGGTAGTCGATTGGATTTTGAAGACCATTACGTCTCATTGGAAGCATGGAATACAATAGACAACCTGGATGCGACTGAACGAACTGTGCATTACAGATGATCTAGCTCTTCTATCCCATAGAGAGCAAAAAGTGGGGGTGAAGGCGGCCAGTGTAGCAGCAGCCTCAGCATACACACGGGGTAAGGCAAGATACTAAAACACAACACTGCGGGCACTAATTCAATCACACTTGACGGAGAAGCACTGGAAGTGGTAGAAACTTTCACGTGTTTGGGCAGCATCGTCGATGAACAAGGGGAACCTGACGCAGATGTGATGGCACGGGTTGGCAAAGCAAAGTCAGCATTCCTACAATTTAAGAACATATGGAACTCAAAAGAACTGTCAGTCAACATCGAAGTTATAATCTTTAATGCAAATGTCAAGACAGTTCTAATGCATGGAGCTGAAACATGTAGAACAGCTACAACCATCGACACAAAAGTACAGGCATTTATAAACAGTTATCCAGGCAAAATGCTCAATATCCGTTGGCTTGATATCATCAGCAACAAACTACTGTGGTAGAGAACAAATCAGCTTCCAGCTGAACAGGAAATTAAGAAAATATACTGGAGGTGGGTAGGACATACATTGTAGGAATCATCAAACTGCATCATGAGGCAAGCTCTAACTTGGAATCCTGAAGGAAAATGGAAAAGAGGAAAGCCAAAGAGCACACCACGTCGTGAATAAGAAGCGGGCATGACAAGAACGGATAGAAACCGGAAAAAACTGAAAAGGATTTCCCAGGACATTGTTGAATGGAGAATACTGGTGGGCGACCTATGCTCCCCATGAGGGATAACAGGCATACGTAAGTAAATAATGGAACATGAATTAGTGACAATCGGAAACATAGCTGGAACTCACGCCCACTTTGTTTTTATTCATAAAGTCCCGCCTTAAAGGTAAATAAGGTCAAATTGAAGCACAGATCAAAGGATTTCAGGAATAAACTGATTATTGATAGAGTCTAGATAGCCAACAATGGAATAATCCAAAGCTTTATTTATAGCGTTATAAACACCATAGCCGTTGAATAAATCAGTGAGTTATAAGCAGTTGAAGATAACCTACAAAATAAATGATTTTAACTTCACTAAAATCAGTACTTCATTAAAAGTAATAATTAACTTTTGTTATGTGTTATGACTTTAAGTTGCGGTCGATTTTTACCCTGTGCTAATTGTTGTGTCCTTGACTGGAAAAATTAGAGAACAGCGTATTTATCGATCGATCCAATGACACGTAAACACGTACGGACGGCCTAGAGTCTCGATTGGTCCCGCTTCCTTGTCTAGCCCAGTCAGTTGAGTCCAGAACGCAAGTCACAACCTCTGAGATATGAATCATTGTATTTCAGACATACTCTATTTATATACTAACCAAACATACCACATCGTACCATAAAAATAGAAAACAACATTTGTACAATATTTAACCGATGAAATAAATAATGGCCAATAGGAAATGTCCAATTAACGTCCAAGGACATCACTAGGCTTAACATGATAATGATTGGCACATTGTTCTGCATCCATAACATTATGTGTATAACGTTGATATGTACACATTTTATCTACGTATAACCGTAATCAATGTGGAGGGAGCAGAAATTAGGATTCGAACAGAACAGCATGAATTCATTTTATATTGTTTAGTTCTCATAAGCTCCTTACAAAATGTTGTAGTTCAAAATCACAGTTACAAAATGCGCCCAGCTCATATGAAATAGTTTAGTTTGAAGTTACTGTTATCATATAACAGTATAGAATAAATGAAATATTTTAAATATATATCTTATGTACATGACTGTTTTACAAAAAATACCTAGAAACATATGGTTATGTAGAAAACAAACGCTGATAATATTTAAGAGCGAGCAAAGCTCAGTTAATTGAGGAACTAAGCTCACTAATCAAGAAAGGAGTCTAAATAAAAAGACTTAATTATGTAATTTATCGGAATAAAAGAATTGAAAAAGATTTTTATGATGTAGTGAAGAAATGTTAGTATTGCCAAAGCAGAGAACAACTATCTCCCTTTGAATACACAAATCAGACTTCTGATACATGATAGCGATGCGTTTAGCAAACTTCAAAAGACTGGAGTTTAGCTGTTTATTAGTCACCGTGGTAAGTTTAAAAACATCAACATGATGTTCTGTGTCCAAGAGATGTTTGGTAACTGTACAGTTTGAAGTAGTTACATCATGTTCGGGAATTGTTTGGAATATTTTCAAAAAATCCAAAATATCCCCTCCTTTCTGTTTAACTGATTTAGTAAACACTGTGTATATTTTACTGTTGTGCACTAGAATGATAAAGCATTATTTAACTAAACCATTTTTTATAGGATTATTTATACAGTCTAATTTTGTTTAAATTAAAAACAGTTTTCTTGATCACTTCAAAATCATGCGTATTACGCTCTTTTATGAATATTCTATGGGTACAAAGATTCCTTTACAAATACATTTAGTGATACTATCTTGTGAATAAATAACAATACTGAGCAATAAACATATAGATACCATCATATTATATGTTAGAACCAGCAATTTACACTTAGTTAGGTGTTATCAACAGTGGAAATATATTTTACGTATTCATTTTTAAAATTTCCACTAGACTCATCTTATTTTCTCCTCTCTACTCAATTAGCTGAACAAGGTAGAAAAATGCCTATTAAATGGATGGCTCCAGAAAGCCTACATCAACGACGTTTTAGTTCAGCAAGCGATGTTTGGATGTTTGGTAAGTTATTCTTTTTAGTAAATGAGAAGAAATGATAGCATTGGTGGTATATTTCAAGGCTTTCTCGAAATAACTAGTAAGTAGATGTAGTGTAAACTTTAGAATCGGCCCAGTGGCATAAGAGATCGACAATTTTTCATTTTACTGCGATATATGGATGATACATTTGTCCTTTGTAACACCATACGGACTTTATAGAAACAGTCGAAGCGTTTCAATACAGTCCACCCGCCCATAAAATTCACATGTGAGAAGGAAAATGGGGGTAGAATAGCCTTTCTAGATGTTCTACTTACAAGGAGAAAAGACGGGTCACTAAAACCAAACGTAAACAGGAAAAATTACCTGGAAGGGTCAATATACAAAGTACAACTAATGTTTTCCACACGTCCAATAATCACTCCGAGGTTGAAAGATAAATTGTCTAGACTAGTCACCTCTTCCTGTATCTATCAATTCAACTGNNCTTATAGAGCAAGATATATTGGCAGATGTTCTAAGAATTTGTATATTCGGGCTCGTGAGCACCTCCCAGTATGGTTAAGCAAAGGTGTAATCAAAACGGTTAACAACTCTATTTTAACCCATTTAATTCAGACGGGACATACAGCAACATGGAGCAATCTTTCACGATAATATATCGTGTTAACAGCAGTCCATCTAATTCCGTCAGACTGAGAATCTTGCGGACGGCTGAAGCAATCGCTATTCGGAAAAAGCCACAGCTTTGTGTGCAAAAGAAATATGTTCTGCCTCTCCTTTTACCCTGGCCAACTAGTAGGTTCTGGGTTCGAATTCCGCGGGGTGCGGGATCGTGGATGCACACTGCTGAGGAGTCCCATACTAGGACGAAACGGCTGTCCAGTGCTTCCAGGTTCTCCATGGTGGTCTGGCTTCAACTGACTCATGATTTCAATCTGTGAAAATTTCTAAAATCTCCACAAACCCCTTTTGATAACTAGTTAATAATCAATCTTATAATACGGTGACGTAATTTGATTAATGTTCATTTATATGTCCCAAACTTATCATTATTATCTTTACCATTATTATTATTATTACACTTGATAACCTTTTTGAGGAATTTATTCAGTATCCACCCCTATCTACTATGTCTGACCTTATTCGTATTATTCTACATATTACGTAATTTCTGATTTTTTATCCCAGTATTTTCCCTCTCACCCCATGTTGACCATATTTATTCTAATAGTTGAAATCATGAGCCGATTGAAGCCAGACCACCACGGAAAACCTGGAAGCACTGAACGGCCGTTTCGTCCTGGTGTGGGATTCCTCAACAATGAGTATCCACGATCCCGCCCCGACCACGGGAGATTTGAACCTAGGGCCTTTCAGTCTCGCTTGCGAGCGCCTAACTATTAAACCACTGAGCCATTTATCTGACCACTTACCACACAATTTCATTTCATTTATAAACTGATTCAAGTTAACACTTTATATTAGTCAGCCCCAACATTAACGATTTGATTTTATATAACAACAACAATTCTTGATCCACATGTTACAATTTTAAGTGATGTACTCTGCCTTAATTCTGGCCAATTTTATGGATGACTAACTTTTATTATTACTTTACAAATAGTCTATTTATTAAATTAATCCCATAACGGCAGTAATTTCTTTTGTGTTCTGATTTACTTCATTTATTTCATTTCCACTGTATTGCCTATATAAACAAAATTTTTGACTCTCTATAGCATATCTAACTACATTCAACTTTTATACGTACGTTACTTAAAAATGAATTGTCAATTAGAAGTTTTTCTTATTAATCTTCCTTACGTTGACTAAGCCTTACACATGTATTTATCGTATCTCACCAACATCAGTAACAAATTTCATAGCATTATAATTTATTTTCAAGTTTGTAATTGAACTATTAACCGATGAGGAAAATTTGCGGCTCAGATGAATACTTTCGGTAGTGATGAATTCTCTAAGCTGTACAATGGCTGTATGGCATAAACCATAATTCTCTATGATCATACTGTTTAAAAGATATTAGTGTCTATATGAATACACTTGACTAAAGTTGTTCTTACTTCAATGTTGATTGAAATTATTTTTATGAACTTCACTGAAATCTAAGTGCTTCTTTTTTGATTTTATATAAATCAAGAAATAACCCGATCATCCCATTAGTTTATTGAAGATAAATATATTTATACTCTAGTGTTTATTTTGTTTGTTTGAATATGATAAGGATGAGAGCGGTAGGCTTTAGCTAGAAAAAGGTCCATGAATTAAACAAAACCCTATTGTTTACAACAAACCCTATTGGTCAGTTTATTTTTTACTTGACCTCAATATGTAAGAGAAATGTACACAAGATTATTGTCCTTGTATATTAGAATATTTTACCTGATAGATAATATTTAACGAGAATTTCATCCTTCTTAGGAGTAAAGTTTACGAAATAATCTTTTCATTTATTTTCAAAGTACTGTTTGAAACTCTTGTTATTCTGAATCAGGTTACATACTTTTCTAAACATTACTATCGTACATCACAATTGCTACTTACTATATTTTAACTACATACAAATTGAAATAATAAGTAATTAGTTCACTTAAACAAGATCATGAACTGGTTAAAAGGTACTTGGCTTTCAAAACAGTAAGTTTTATGTTTGAAATTTAATACAGTCCATGCATGCAGTTAGTATCATTTACTCTCAAGTAAATAATGTAAATCATCAAAGTCAGTTGAAATTTTCTTAAAAATTTTCAAATTGTCTAGAGAAAAATTATCACATCAATGTCAAAAGCTTATGCTACTTATTTATCATTTTAGTAGTTCGAATTACGCTTATAAAATGATTTCATTACTGTCCTCTATCATGCAGCTCTTTAGATACTTGGTTAATCGACCCATTTCTCAATAACTAGAATCAATCAAGGGGATAAAATGTATTCTATTTAATCATTTATCTGCAACAAAACACAGTTCCCAAATGTTAATCATGCTTCAACTTAGACTTTGGCATTTCAACCATAGCTTGTACAACAATCAATTACTGATTCTGTTCTTAGTTACGTTCAGAAACTAATAAAGATATACTACGAAACATTTTCAGCTAATTATAATATTGACTTTTCAAAGCTTGTCAGGGAAATGCGTGATATCATTTTTATTACTTCAACAATAGTAACTCTGAAGTAATGAACTAGAAGTTTTGTTTCCGTGAAACTAACATATTCCTAATTTTTTTTAGCTGGTGGTGATAATCAGAATGACCAATCCTATGTAAGCAGTTTCCTTTATTATATTATTTTTCTGTAAATGAAATTACCTTTATACGATCACGCTTTTTTATTGTTTACTCCTGAGAATACGCTGATCTAGGTAAAGATACGAATAAATTTATTGATTACCTTTGATCTCCATTTATTTTTAATTGACTACTAACCACATAATTCAAACGAACCAAAAAGGAAACCGTGAAACAGGTTTCCAGTGTTTATTCTTTGTTTAAAAGAACCTACTTCATAAATAAAGATCAGTTCGAAGCTGCAGAAAATCTTTGCAGAATTGCTCAGATAAAAGACGAAATCAGTAAATACAAGTTTTGTTTATTTAAAAAATGAGTGTATAAACTGTCACTTATTCATCTGAATGGGTGAAAATTAAAGAGCGATAAAATATTACACATACAATTTAGGAAAGCTGAAATACAATTGTACATATTCATATTATTCAGACAGGAAACAAATAATATGAACTTCGAAGACTATCCAGTTTTTCATAAATTCATACAAAAAGTTTACAAAACCTTCCAAAATGCGAGGGCCTTTTATAACTACTGAAATAAACTTTGGTCGCTAAATGTACTCGATTTGAAACAAGCTCTCTGAAATCATTCCACAATAGACCAGTTCTATTATATTGAGGATCTTATTAGTGACTGATCATCTTTATTGACATTCTACCGTCCTGTTCTTTTTGATTCTAGTTGACCGTACTATTTGATTGCTATCGAACAATATAAATTTTGTTGAACCTAAATAACAAATGGATTCGCCATAAAAAAATAATATTGTACTCGAAGTAGTTTACTCAGGTTATCGCTCAAAAATGCTATGAAATATCACAGATTTAATATAACTATAATTCTCATTTCCTTCTTTGAGGATAACTTATTTAAATAATTCCTTAATGGTAATTATAATATGATATGTGCTCAGTCCGCACTGTAATCTCCTTTAACCTGTCACTGAGGAAGTTCACTCTGCATAATCCATTTTCATCGTTGGAAATTATTAATCTGTCCATGGATAATACTGGATGATCAAAGAATGATTTAACCAAACTATTAAGAAGAATTTAATTTGATGCTTATCAGTTTAATAATATATCAGGCTAATGAATAAACTATGCTGAAGTTATTATATATGGTTATCATATAGTATAGATTTAAATAAATATCTCTCGATTAGAAATTGGTCTTAAGTAAATAATTCTTGAAATTTTTCACTTGTTTTTCTACATTTAAATGTATTCCAGATGATTTGACTATTATTTCTGTTTCATAGCGCTTTTTATCAAACCAAAAGTATATTCTAGAAATTGTATTCTATATTATATTCTTCAACTGACTTCAGTTATTAACAACATTCTCACTTTATATAATCATCGATATTATGAAATTAATGGTTATTTACTATTTCTTATCTTATAATTTGAACGACTATTTTTTTAGAGAACATATCAAAATCAATTCAGAATTAACTTAACACCACCAAAGCCACCTAAACAGTCTCCAATACAAACATCTAAACCTCATATTAATCTACAAAGTCGATGGGATGAAGCCAGTAAAGTGAACTGGACTAAACTAGATATTCCGTCAAGTCGATATTTATCAAATAATTTAGAAAGGTCCTATAAAACTATAAGCAATTCTCCATCACCAAATCGTCAGATGGATATTGATCACAATTCAAATTCCCAAAGAGATATTCCATCATTTCATGATATGGAAAAATATAATGCTACACAAAATGCTTCGACATCAAGTGTGAATTCATCAACACTTGGTTCAGTATCAGTAAGATTCATTTTTAATGAAGTTCTTTATAACATTTACTCTACGTTTAGGTCTTGTTCAAGAACATTTTTACAATGAGTGTGTAGAGTGATCTGAAAGATTTTTATTGATATTTCTTGATAATAAGTATACATCTTCTGGTGTATTGAACTGTAACGCATTTATATATGCTTAATTGTATATAGGAGAGTTGTAACGAGATGCATACGATAAGGCAACGTAAACTTTACAACATTTTTATGATTTAAAAGGAAAGGAATATGAGAAATATTTTGTTAGCTTATTTCAGTAATGAATTTAGTAATCAATGATCCATCCATAGTTGACAAGTCAACCGACATCAGCGACTTTGATAAGTTAACGAGTATAATTATCTACAAAACTATGACTGAATTTAAACTGTCTTGAAAATCTTTTGATCGGTATTCTCACCCTATTACTCTAAATAATAGATATTAGATTCGATAACCACTTGTACCAATTGAAGTTAGCATGAAGTCGTATTGTAATTTTTATGTCACGAACTGGCTTTATTTAGACGTATATTGAAATTCAAGAAGGATCGGAGAGTTCTTTCGTCTAAATATGGAAAATGTCAAAGGTAGGCATTCACGAACCCATCATTGTTTAAGAGCTCTTAACCCTCAGACTTCTTATTTGCTGTAATTAAAACTTATAAATTCAATCAAATCTCGATACTGAGCGACCAATAACAACGACGAAATCCAATAAACTCTTACCTCTTATACAAAGTAATCTGCTTAGATTATGATATCTAACAGATAGATTCAATCCGTTCAGCTTTTGCAGGAAGTTTGAAGAAAAGTAAATATGTTAATTAGCTGGATACTCATATCAGCTTTAGTTCATCCACTACTCATATTCTAGTTCTTTTTGATATTTTGTGACTAAGATTCTTATACTTTTAAGACATTGTTTGTTCCCATATAAAACACTGAAAATGAAGCAGCTGATGGGAAACCATGAAATAAACTGAGTTACTGTAATTCTGCTACGTCAGTTCGTGTTGCCGCATTCGAAAATGGAGTGACCGAAAAAACCTAACTGATTTTTTTAAAGACAATAACGATTCAAAGCATGAAGTAATTAAGAATATAATAATAATTCCATAATACTGAAGATTATATCTTTCATTACGTCAGATTTTGCAGTTTTATGATTTGTTCATTATAAGATGGTACAGATTTATATATCAGGTGGACGATTTTGAGGGAGTTTTAATCTTTGAGCTAGATGGTTTAAGCGTGAAACTTTCGTCGTTCTTCCTAAAAAATATCATCGGAACAAACGTCAGGTAGAAGTAAGTTACTCAAATTTCCCCACGAACAACTAACAGCGTACGTTGCTAACCTTGATCTTGATTGGCTATTGTTGACCTGGAGTCTATTATAGTCATATACTAAATATTCTAAAACTTGTGATATAACTCTGTACCAAGATAATCCTTTCAAAATGCATGTACGGCAGTAGAAACTGATCATCTGCAGACTTACTTACCAACAACATGAATTTATAGTCAATCACACCTTATTAGACCTCCGGTAATCAATCACTTCTTAGAAATGTCGAGTTAGGAACAATCAGTTATGTCCAAAGTTATTTGATTTTCAACAGTTTTCCAAGTGATAACGATTTATTTTGTTGTTCCCAACGTAATGGAGCCGTGGTACGGATTTTCAGTCTCAATTACACTGTTTGTAATCAGTAATTGTTAGAATAATTATGAAAGTTACCATTCTATTCGTTTAACATAAGAAGAACAGAGGAAGCCTATATTATCAATACACTTTATTAGAGGTACTATGAACAGGTTACTTGATATTTCCTGATTCTTTTATACTCGTAAACTCTCTGTTGAATACTTATCTTTTGTTATCAAATTTCTATTTTGTTGTGCATTTCTTTCAGAGTACAGTAACTGTGAAAGGACAATCACCTGATATTACCAGACGTAAATCAATTCTACCTCCATCTCTGTGTCATAATTCAACGAAAATATTTGATTTTACATCGGAATCGCGAAATTTGAGTGAACGTAGAAGTGATGACTTTGAAAAAAGATACAAATCAGAACTAAGGAAAAATACTTCAATTTACAGAAAAGTAAATTACTATTAACAGTAATAATAATGATAATAATAATAATCAATAGTATGAGTTATCCTAAAATCAACAAAAAGAACAAGATACTAATTAGTCACTTCAAGTTAGAGAAATTCATTTACATTCTTGACCAGTATTTTTCGAGTTAACTTTTGACTTATTTTGTGTAAACTGTTATTTCCAGGTAATATTCTTTGTTCACATGTGTGTCTTAATATGATGGGGATTTTTGCAGAGAGTCGGTTCAATAAAAATTATGAATTATGTAAAATTATTAAATTCATTACCTTCCTTTTACAGTAAGACCCATAATTGGCGAAGAATGTTACGCAACCTTATTATGATACTTGTAAACTTTCATTAGTAGAATTATATACGTTTTAAAGCCCCATAAATATGATTACGTCTCATCAGTAAATTGTATCGTCAAAAACAAAGTTTTCTTCTTGTTAAAATTTGTTGACACCATAAAAGTTCTGCTTATAATTAGATCTAGGGTTATTCGATACAACTTATTGGTCATATATATGAGACAAAACATCCTGTTTGTCATATGTACAGAAATTTGAGTAGCTCACTTCTATCAGAATTTTGTGCTGACGACCTTGTCCAGAAAGATTATGAAAGCGTCATGAATGGGTCACCCCTATCAAAGAACAATACTCCACTGAAATTACTCATTTAAGCTACAAATCTTCTCCACCATGTCGAAATTATGTCACAAGTAATTGTAAAACACTAAGAAATCGATTATTTTAATACCCGGAGAAATTGAGATACAGCTTTCATTATGAATAAATATCGTCTAATGGACTACTATAATTTTTTCTGGTAAGCTGGATTCCGTAAGGATCGGTCGTGCACAGACCAAATTGCGACACTACGGATCATCGTCGAACAATCAGTTGAGTGAAACTCGTCACTATACATCAACTTTATTGATTATGAAAAAGCATTTGACAGTGTGGATGGGAGAACGTTATGGAAACGTCTTCGACACTACGGAGTTCCTGAGAAGATTGTCAATATTATCCGGAACTCATATGAAGGACTACAATGCAAAGTAGTGCATGAAGGACAGCTGACAGATGCATTCCAAGTAAGGACTAGAGTCAGACAAGGCTGTCTACTCTCTTCCTTCCTCTTTCTTCTGGTGATCGACTGGATTATGAAGACCCCGACATCTGAGGGAAAACGCAGAGTACAATGGACAGCTCAGAATCAATTAGACGACTCGGACTTTGCAGATGACCTAACCCTCCTAACGCATACACATGAACAAATGCAGATAAAGACAGCCAGTGTAGCAGCAGTCTCTGCATCAGTAGGCCTCAACATACACAAGGGGAAAACCAAGATCCTCAAATACAACACGGAGAACAGTAATCCAATCACTCTTGATGGCAAAACTCTGGAAGATGTAGAATCCTTCACATACCTAGGAAGCATCACCGATGAACAAGGAGGTTCAGATGCAGACGTAAAGGCGAGGATCCGCAAAGCAAAGGTCGCATTCCTACAATTGAAGAACATATGGAACTCAAAACAACTTTCAACCAATATCGAAGTGAGAATCTTCAATACGAACGTCAAGGCAGTTCTACTGTATGGAGCTGAAACTTGGAGAACTACAACAACTACAATCAAGAAAGTACAAGTATTTATAAATAGCTGTCTACGCAAGATACTCAATATCCATTGATCGGATACCATCAGCAACAGCCTTTTGTGGGTGAGAACAAACCAGCTGCCAGCTGAAGAGGAAATTAGGAAAAGACGATGGAAATGGATAGGACATACACTACTCAAATCGTCAAACTGCATCACGAGACAAGCCCTAACTTGGAATCCTGAAGGAAGGCGGAAAAGAGGAAGGCCAAAGAACACATTACGTCGGGAAATAAAAGCAGATATGGAAAGGATGAATAACAACTGGAAGGAGCTGGAAAGGATTGCCCAGGACAGGTTTGGATGGCTAATGCTGGTGAGCGGTCTATGTTCCTTCACGAGGAGTAACAGGCGTAATTAAGTAATGGACTACTATGAGATGAAACAATACAGCAGTGAAATAAAGCATTTGAAGCTTTAAAAAGAATTGAACTATTTTTCTCTAAGTTCGAAACTATGAAATTTGACTACGATAGTTTTTTATAGGCTCAAATCAGTAAAGTTTTAAAACTGGATGTAACATTAGTTCATTTTTATATTGATTTTTTATATTTTCCCGCTAACATTTCAGACTGTGATTGATCAGTCACTTATTGGCATATGAGTGATAAGAGAGTGATCAATCGCAGTCCTAAACATCAATGGGAAGATTCAAATAAACAATAGGAAAATGAATTAAACCTCACCTCATGGCACAAGCTTATTGCTATCTGGACTCGGTAGCTAAGTGAACAACGCAAAGGCGTTTGAAGCGAACAGTACTGGATTAAAGTCCTGGAATGAACATCAACTCTGGGGTGCCGGTACATCCAGCTGGCGAGTCCTAAATAGAAAGAAACACACGTCCTAGATTTCAGTGCTAGCCACCAACCATCTTTGCTTATAATGAAAGTAACATTCTTGTGAAAAATATTCACTTACTAAACAAACCTATCGTTTATTTCTCTTTTTTTAAATCGATTCTTAGACAATGCCGCCTTCATTACCTACTCAAGGTGAGTTCTGAACTTCAATGACAGAAATTTTTATTCATCGATAAGTAATCATGTTGCTCAATAAAAGTGTAATTAGAAACTTAAATTACTTTAAAAGTTATCTCGATTTAGTATGCATTTTAAAGAAAAGTTTTTATTTGCATAATTAACTTCTATCTTGTTATTTTTCCCTCTTCATTATGGCTTCTTTTGATTGCTTCTATTTTCCTTTTTCTGAAAAGTTTAAGATAATAGACGATGTGATTTTTTTATTTAAGTAAATTAAACTCTATTCTTATTGTTAACTATTGATGAATACACTGAACATTTTTAAAACAGTTGTTATCTGTATGAACAGCTATCTGGGGAAGATCACCACAAGAGACCATATTTCGTCGCAAAATCATTACCAACTATCATTTATTGTATAAAACGATAGTTAGTTAAGTTCATAATATCACCTTAACCACATAGATAGAAAGGGGTATTAACGTTTGTTGAAATCATAAACCGATTAATGATGAGCCACTACTCAATGCCTGGAAGTAATGGCCGGCTGTTTCCTCGTGGAACGGGACTCCCTGATAGTACGTGTCCACGACCCACCAACCGGAAGTCCAGTCCAGAACCTTCAATCTCAAATGTAAACGCCTAACCTATAGACCATTGAAGCGGTGTGCAACAACATTAATGTCTAGCTCCAATCGATTCATGGTATTGTGTGATCATCTTCCTATACTAGAACGAAATGGCTGTCCAGATCTTACATGTTTTCAAGGATGATCTATTTTAGATCGGTTTATGATTTCAATGAAATTCGACAATCTCCACGATCCCCTCCTTACTTAACTTTACTCATTAAATTAAAAGACCTTAAATCGGTCAAAAGGTATATTGTACTATATGTCTATCTGCCACATTTCAACTAATAAGTTAGTTATGAATTATAAACTAGTTAATACAGTATTCAATTTCTATTCATATTGATTAAAATTATTAATTGGAATCTCTAAAATCATCTCATACGGTTATATTTTGTTTCAACTTCTGTTTTTTTTTCATTTTTTTCGCAGTAATTAAATTGAATATTAATGAAAATAATAATTCATCAACTTCGATAGAATCTTGTTCATTATCCCATAATACTCATAAAATCCGAAGTTTTTCATCTGATGGTGTTCGATTGGCAAGTCATCAAACAACTCCAACACATTCAAGGAATACATCAATTTCTCAGTCAGTGTCACAACATTCCTCCAATCAAAGCATCAAATTCTGTAATAGTTCTACTCGTAATATTCTCATTAATCATAACAGTAATAATGATAATAGTTGTATTCGTAAACAAATGGCATCGGATTTAATTTCTAATCGCCAAGCTTCACCGAGTAAACGTAATAATAATAATGATAATAATAATAATACTGGTCATGTAGACCCAGTGTTTTCAGCCACTGTAAAGGTTGTACAAACTGTTAGTTTGGTTAGTCAGCAGATAATTACGAGTAAACCAGAGGAATATGGTACCTTGATAAAAGTATGTTTATTGCTTTATTCTTTTTCTCTAACTTGTGACTGTTATCCTCTATTCATTTACTAAATGTTACTGATTTCAGATTAAATGACTTAGTTATAATGAACTGAACATTATTTGTTTGTGTGTAGATGTAAATAGTGGGCGTGTGTAGGTAAACGACAAGTACTCATAAAAGTCGAATTTATAATGTAATGCCATCGATGAATGGATATCACAAAAGTGTAGGACATCTGTCCAGAGAAAGGATTCATCATTTCACATGAACATGATATACGTTACTAACAACTCAGAGACCGATCAATCGCAAGTATGTCAGCCTTGCAGGTCAGTCACTGTTAGGATGCCTCAGTGATAATGTCTCGATTTTTGAAGCTTGATAATAAGGGCCTAAATTCTACCGAATGGAACATCATTTCATTCAAAAGTTTAAGTATGCAATTGCTAAAAAACAAGAAACTTACCTCAAACATTGGTTCCTGTCTACTACCACCGATTCTCTAATATCTCAACATAGTATATTCATGGAATCAAAAGAACTACATCAAAAATAAATATGATTAAAGCAAAGTTTAAATACAGTTTCCTGTAAATTGTAAATTCTGCCTAGGAAATCTTATATAGACTTCTCAAGATGAAATTAGTAAAATGATAACATTAATATGAATTTGCAAATGAGAGTAATTTTAGTCGTATTTTTCACGGTTTACTTAACTAATAAATTATCTTCTAGTCCACTCTCAAATACTTTCAAGTTATATATGTTGCACGTTGTAAAGTACATTTCTACCAACTTTATGTATACATATATTTGACTACATATGTCCTTTTATGAAAATAACTTTTGGGACATTAGAGCATATAACTCTGTTTCAAATCACCTAGAAAATCGTAAAAAAAACAATATCCTACTATATAGGATTCCACAATAGTGGACAAATACTATTCGACTTAAAGATATTATGTTCACTGTTACACCAGAAGATGCTGAATTCTGTCCGAAGTAGAGTCATAGGAGTTTATTATTAGTATGTCCTCGAACAACAATAAAGCAGTTGTATAATACTTTTGGAGGTCAAATGGTTCATTAACTGATACCAGTTCTTGGAGGAAATACCTTTTAAGTCAAGTTGAATCTTCAAAACAACTGCCATCTTCTGTACTTCACTCTTGATAGCCAAAATTTGAAATATTTATAAACATCTTGCTCTCAATTTTTTTTGTTTTAATCAAATAATTGATGTTATCTTGTAAAAATATTTTGAACAATAAGAAGTCTCATCAATTTGAATTAAGTTTAAACATCGCTGGTCATTTAAATTCACTCGGATTAAAATAATTGTTATTGGCTTTTTCTCCATTTAAACAGACTATTGGTACATCAATCAAAGATTTATTCTCTGCAATTCAAAAAGAATTCGGTGATCATGCTTGCGAAACAGTAAGATTAATTTATCTGTTTCTTATTATTTGGTTTTATGTGTTTAGATGCAATTAATTTGATGACAATTGTTAGTTAGTTGTAAACAAATGAATCATGATACGCCCTTCGTGAATTTGACAGATAGGTAGATAAATAAATAAATAGGAATCACTCATCGGTGATGACTATTGCATATGTACTTGTAAAACAAGACAATCGGCTGGCGGAATGAATAATCATTGCGAGAATTAATAAAGTATTTATATAGTACATATATATAGCCTTCGATCACCCACTGGCAACTTTTGGTGTGTTCAAGAATCTGAACTATCTCCTTGTCCGGTTTCCAAGTATTCTGACAACACCGTACTTTCGATACAATAAAACTCTTCACTCCGTTTGACAAGTGTTGTAATTTCAACATCAATCCCGCTACACACTATTTGCAAACAGTCTTGTGAGTAGCATCCACTACATAATTACCCTCTGGGTAAATTTATTTTATTGTTTGTTGAGGAACAGATAAGTCTATTTAATTATGAGTTCTGGTGAAACTTTTTCAAAAATTTAAGTACTAAACACCAATGACGAAACCTTGGATACTCGAGTAACTAAAGTTTACTTTGAATTGTAATAATTATCTTTAAAATCTAACAGGAAATTTCACTGAATTAATACCGTCTGAAAAAACTTTTATGAAAATTTCAATATGATAAAACATCATTAGCAAACATAAGCATAATCTAATCGTGTATGTGATTATTAAAGGGGATGGTTTGGATAGAAAGATCGATTCAAAAAAGAAACATATTTTATTGAAAAATTCAACTGTCAAGCTGAATACTCTCTTCAACTGTACCTTCAATATTTTTCTACTGTATTAAACACTAAACGTTTCATCTGTCCCTATCAATAGATGTTTTTATCAGTTGTACAGTTCTTAATAATCAGATTTCATAGAGAGAATAGTTTATGCTCTCTTTGACTATATTAGTGAAACATAAATTCAATGTGGATAGTATTTTATTCATATAACATATGACGCAGTAGAATCATGTAACCAAATCATTACATATCCACTATCTGACTATACCATAAAGGTCATTCTATAGTACTTCAAACAGGACTACAGTACTATACACAAAATTTGTACATTTTGTCATATTTCAAATAATATTATATAAATATTTCAAAGGGCCTGTTAAACATAAAGCTCAAACAACTCATTATTTGAAGAAACAAGTAAGCAAATGAAATATTCAGTAAAATTTATTAGTTACCAAAATCTAAAAGTCTGTCCATAGAAGAAAGACTATAATCGTCGTTAGTTCTGACAAAACAGAATCGTGACTGACATTTATTTATTGGTTATTCCTAACAAGTATTCGTTACTTACAGATGAAGCAGTAAAGTAGTGAAATTAATTGTACTCAAGTACATTTTTCATCATCATAGGATTAGAATTCACAAATAAAACGGAGTATTAATTAACACTTGTCATAAAACTATACTTTCTCCAAATCGATAACACTACGAGAATGTGCTCATCTGTATGAATGATTTTAACAGGTATCTCTAAGCTAATGAAATATTTCGAGAATCATTTTCTTTGTTCAAATAAATAAATCTTATCGCTTAATTTCTAAACTTCTAGATTCTTCTAGCTGAACGTCAATTAAATTCTTCAATGTATTCCCTCATAACAACTACAAAAAGTGTTAAATTACAAAATAATCGAGGTCCATTACTGGAAGAATATCGACGACATTTAATGAGCTTAGCTTATGCAATTGCAGCTGATGCAAACACTTTATATACAACTGTTTATGAAAATCGCATTAAATGATTATACTGGACAAAAATGTCTTAAAATTATTACCACTACCTATTAATAATGGGGACATATTCCCTTTGAATATTCCTATAAATATTTGATTGTGAGGTATATTCATTTTTCTACAATGCTTTTTTTTTCTTCTGTGTATTTCTTCTTAACACTTGAGTTACTACCGTTTTCCTACATACTACTGAAATTAGTAGGCTGTACATTTGTATAAAAAGCAATAATAATAATAGCAATGAAGTAATAATGCAACAATTGCTTTTGTCTTTCATGTCACCTTTCTGTCATTTCTACAGTTAGTTTTCATTGTTCACTGGTTCTTTTTCCTGATGTCTTTTTTTACTTATATACAATTGTTGTAGAGTTTTTTAAAGATTATTTGTTGCGTTGTTTAAATTCGAAAACTATTCCCAAGTGGCTACAAACCCTGATGGATAAAAGTCTGTAACAGAGCCGACGAAAATATAAGTTAACCTCAATTAACCAAAACATTTACTCGCTTAAAATATACATAAGGGTTAAGAATATAAATGTATATTATTACAGATATTCAAGGAACACAGGCATTTTAAAATTATTCTTATTAACTTCAACATTATTCACAGTTCGGCAGGAGAACCTAGCGCCTGTTAATCGATAACTTGATAAGCATTTGTTAGGGCTCCTGAACATTTTATCCATAACAAACTTAGCTAATTGGAGGTGCTCCATTAAATATCCTTGTTATTTCTCAAGAGGCTACATTTGAGATGTTGCTCCTAACTTGCCGATGACCAATCTGAGAGTCTGCCTCGCTCTACTACCAAGTATATCGCTTCTTCCAACCACCCTAGTATTCTGCATAATTCTTTTGAAACAAAACTCTAGAGAGAGTTTCATTTAGGTATCGGTATGTCAAAAACATCTGCAGCTCAAACTATACTGCACATTGGAATGACGGGTTGAACATATCACGGATGTTCAGTGATTGGCAAAACTCTTGCCCATAACTAGCTTATAATTAAGAATCCCAAACCCAGACCAACCAGGAGCCAGGAATCAAGGAATCCGAAGATAAACTTGGATGATGGTTGATATATCGAGTAGTACATGAAGAATGAGTAGCAAAGCGTACCCTATTGTGATCTGGTAAAGATCCTATCATATAAAGATTAACGTGATCGAAGTGAGCATCAAGTGTTGGGAAAGATCCTCGCTATGGTTACAAGTCCGTAATCACGCTCTGAGGAGACATTCAGGAGCGAATTTAAATTAAAGGTGTAAGCACTTTATATCAAGTGAGGCATAATGTTCATGACGTGACATTTCTATTGGTTGACTGTCGATTCATCGTCTATTCCCCATTCGTTTATTTTTCCAAGTTTAAATGAAGCTCAGCTGAGTCTTTTTCGCTTTCTATGAACCTCCAGATCTTTGCGTTGTCTGTATAGGTCAGTCCTACTGAATTAATTTCATCCAACATATCGTTAATAAAGATTGAAAGTAGAAGTGAACCTAAAATTACTGTTTGTGAAACCCCTGATGTTAAAACCGTCCTACTCGTATGCGTTGTTTTTACTTTGGTATGAAACATCTTGCTCCCTGGAGACTTTCGAAGCCATGGTAAAAGTCGGTCAGTGAATCCCATCTTTGTAACCTTCACTATGAAAAGTACGTAGGGTACTGCGTCAAAAGCTTTTTTCGAAATAGGGTAAGTATTTTAGTTTTTATTCATGTTTTCCTTAATTTATTCAATATCCAGTCTTGTCAATGCCTTAAACGATATTAGAAGTAACGCAACTGGTCTGTAACAGGCTGGACTTTTTTCTACCACTCTCTTTGAAGATTAAGGAGAGAGTGCTTAACTCCTATTGTTTTTGCAGCTAGTGGGACTCTAGTGATTGCTTGAACATGCCACACACTGGTGTGCTAACGGCTTACGCTCATTATTTCAAATTTATAGGTCACATCCTGATGAAATTCTTAAGCGCACGGATTTTTATTTTTTAAATACTTACCTGCGAGTGAGTTGGACATCTCCCACACACGCAACTGGCACCAGATTTGAGAGGTATTTCAAACTTGCAAGCACCCAATATACTTGGCATATGAATTTGTCATTAAAGACCTCCATCTTCTCTGAGTCGATGAGATCTCAGCAATTTGGGCTTTTAAATATGCCTATCCCCTAGTTTGTAGGTTTATAACTGGTTGTGAATTTGTACAGATATTTGTGGTTAGCTTACATTTTGACTGCTAGCTTAATTTGAAGACGTCTCTCATCTCTGAGTACTTTGGCGTTGCATCTGTTTCTCAATTTCAAGTAAGAGCTAACATCGACATCTTTTAGGAGGACTTTACTCCCGTTCCAGGCTCTCTGTTTTACAAATAACAAGCGTTCTACGTCTCACTTAACCCAGAATATTTGTCTTCCATGCGTGTTCTTTGGTCGAAGTACCTTGTGTAAGAGAGCGTTCTGATTGATGTCTCTTTCTATCTCCCGGTGGTCACTCAGTGTTAGCTTCTACCACTTTCGGGCCCATGAGGCATATTGAAGATGCTTTATCATGGTTCAACAGTCTCCCTAGGCGTAGATAATAATAAGAGTGTCGTCATCCCATTGAAGTATCCTGTTTTTTACCACGTTCAATGTGATTGTACTGTGTGTGGACATGGACATCCTCAACTAGGAGCTGGTCATTTGTCAGTAAATAATCTAAGTTAGAGAGTTATCTATCTTCATCCTCATATCGCGGTGCTAACCACATTTTCAGTCAATTTCAAACTTCCAGTCGCTGTAATAAGTTGACGTTGAAATCACCTAGTAGGAATTATATCCTGTATACTGAGACTAACGGATGAAGTAACTAAGTTTTCAGTTAGTAGTATTTAGTAAAAACTCAGGTGCGATTGTTGCAAAATCGTCTGGATAGTCTTTATTTCGTAGGAGTTGGTATATTTTCGTATTTTTTAATATATAATATACGCGACATGACGGATAACGATAAGAATAGTATTAATATAATAGACTCACACGTATGTGTACCGAATCTTTGTCACTTTTTATTCGCGTGATGATGAATTCCACGCTCTATTCGAGAAATTTTCCCCTACTAACTATTCTCCTCGCTGACTCGGCTGCTTGGTACGGAATGCATACGCATGAGCATATCCGTCTACCACCCAGCACCAAATGGTTAAGTAAACGGTTTCACTGCCAATTTAAAAGTGCTCTACGAGCACACGAAAATGGCAACTGGCACGAAACCTTATCGCTCGTTCTTTTAGGGGGGAGAACGAGCTTAAAGGCAGATATCCAATGTTCCGCCACTGAACTTGTATACAGCACGACATTACGTCTGCCCGGAGAATTCTTCACACCACGGAGCAGACCTAATTTCGGTAAATCAGACTACGTCCATCGACTGTCTGCATTTATGCGAACGCTGTCTCCGGTGTCAACTCGAATACAACATCGACAGGTCGCTCTCCCTCGAGGGTTATCTACCTGTTCACATGTTTTTGTACGAATAGATTTGGTACGCAAACCATCGCAACAACCTTATGAAGGCCCTTTTCGCGTGATCGCTCGTCACGAAAAGACCTTCAAGGTTGATCGACATGGCCGCGTCAAGATCGTCAGCATTGATCGTCTCAAACCAGCACACGTCGATGACAGTGCCCTATCTGACACCCTGAGATTCAATGCTAGACCTACCAAACCTACTAGCGGGATCCTCAAACCATCTTCAGGTCCCACGCTAGATACAACTGAGACCTCACTCTCACGTCCCAGTCAACAGCACGCGTCATCTGCACCGTCTACGGACGAGACGACAGTCTCACGTCCAGATCAGCAGACCACGCCGCCCTTGACTTCGGATGAGATTGCAGGCTCACGCGACGCGAACGAGACTATCGTCTCACGTTCCGGTCGCCGAGTACGGTTACCCGTACGCTTCCTCGACTAGTCGCACAGTCAACAACCGATACGGTGTAGGATAATTCCTATACTACACGCATGCTACACTCTTCTTTTTTGATTTTCTTTTTGTTTCCTGAGCCCACGCCTTCGACCATCTCCGTTTGGTTCCGTCGACTTCAGTCAACTTTGGCGAAAGCTGGATTGGCCACCCATGCTCTTGTCAACACACTCAGTCGATATATTGGTTTCGAATGCTTGGCATACGCTTGGTCTCGAACTTGGTAGTTATGGTCGCTTCTGGTCTTTTGGCTCAACGTGGTATCGTCCTTCATCTGCAGCGTTTCTGGTCCGCATTCCCTACGAACGCCCTCTTCAGATTCTGGATACAAACCACTCTCGTGTAGCGTGCCAACTCAAGCAACAAATACAGCACATCGCTCCTGGTACCGTTCTCCGAAAACGACCTTCGTTGGCAACTCGACGATCAACCATCGCTTTCCTGTTCGCCAATTCTTCCGTCCTACAATCGCTCGCTAGCCGATCAGTCCCACGATTTAAACCGCTATTTATCGAAAGTGTTAACCCTTTCTAGCGGGGGGCTCCTGTAGTGACTCACATTTATCACGAGAACACGACTGGTTTAATAAAAACAATTATTATTATAACCAACTGTACCAGTGTTTGTTTTAACGTGCTTTTGTTTGACTGTGCTAATGACAGCTATATTCTGCTTCCATTCTCTTACTTACACTTTGATTGTATCTTCGCGCGAATTCGGTTACGTTCTGTAACCAAGCTTGTATCCTGGCACGATCTCGTTATCCTTTCGATGCCACGAGATCGCCAGCTGATAAACCTCGACTTGGTCCATTAACTGTCTTCTGATATTTGGCTTCTCGGGGATTTTATGGAATCATTTGGAACGAGCTTCTTACGCCTTCTGATCTAATTGGCACGTGTTTCTTGGTAGCGGTGTTCATAGTAAATCTCAACTCGACGCCACGCTACAATTGGTAATCTCAATTCGAATACAGGTTTATTAATGCATTTGCATCGTAGCAATACTATGACGATTGCGTCAGCTCACTATACCGTTGTATTATGCCTTTGAAGCGGCCGTTAGTGTATATCAACACTTAGCTTAACTTTTTTGTACCCTATACAATCGGAAGTGTGTCAATCCTTGAATGCTCACTTCATCGTCCGTAATATTGGGTAATTGAAGAATGAAAGGTTATCTGATAATGTCAAGCAATGCGGTAAATACTCTGAGTTACCCAACTATCCTATCACGACATTGATACCGCACTCTTAGAGGCAATCTTCGAAAAACTGCATATCAGTGAGCATGTAGCGTGGTGTCGAGTCGAGATTGACTATGAGCGCCACTACAAGGAAAGGCGGGCCAAATCAATCAGAAGGCGAAGGTTGAACGTAACCAGATTTATTCGTTGGCGATCTCGTGGTATCGAAAGGATACTGAGATCGTGCCAAAAGGGTACAAGTGGAGTCAGCGGGCAAGCGTACGAACGTACGAGGTCACAATCTGCGGAAAAGTAATGGAGAGTAATGGAGGAGGAATGTG